CCGTTCGATAGCAGTGCCACGTGCAGCTATCCTAATCGGTGGAGATGTAAAATATCTTCCGTTAACAAACTTTATTTCTAGAGACCTAGCAGCGGTTCTAGTCGAAGTCCCAACACTAGGAGGGGCCACAGATATAGTCATGGCCTCTGCCTACTTCCCAGGTGATGAAGTAACCATTCCACCATCGGAAGTCCAGCAGCTGATCAACTTCTGCAAGTCCACTGGGCGACAGCTAATCTTGGGCTGTGACGCTAATGCCCACCACACAGTGTGGGGGAGCAGCAATGATAATAAAAGGGGTGAGTACCTATTAGATTATATTATGTCGGTAGGATTAAGTATAGCTAACAAAGGTAGTAAACCCACTTTTATTAATGCAATTAGAGAAGAGGTATTAGATCTCACTCTTTGCACTAGGGGTATTGAGGAATCTATATGGAATTGGCGAGTGTCGGACGAAGTGTCCCTCTCAGACCATCAACATATTAGGTTTGAAATTCCCAGTATATCCGAGCAGCAAGATAAAGTGTACCGGCCGAGGAAAACCAACTGGCTTAGGTACAGGGACTTGGTGGGTTCCGAAAATTTTTCTCTAGCTAGGCCACTAAGAACTCGTGAAGAGATAGAGTTGGCTGCAAACCATTTAGGTGAGGTTTTACTGACCTCCTTTCACAACAGCACGGTTGCAGGTAATGCTTCGATTAGAGGTAAGGTTCCTTGGTGGAACACGCAACTAGCTAATAAGCGTAAACTAGTAAGAAGCTTATTCAATAGAGCAAAACGCTCTGGTAGTTGGGAACAGTATAGAACTGCACTCACCGACTACAACAATTCAATCAGACAGTCCAAACGGGCCAGCTGGCGTAGCCATTGTGATAGTATTGATAGGTTGCCTGAGGCTGCTAGACTACACAAGGCTTTAAATAAGGTCAAAACAAATGAAGTAGGACTTTTAAAAAAACCCGACGGATCATTCACTACTGGTCGTGAAGATACCCTCGAGTTTCTCTTGCAAACACACTTCCCTGGTTCCGTATCCGGACCACCCACATCACATTCATATAGGGAAGTTACTGCTCCTACAGGTCAGGAATACGCACTATCTGGTGTTATTTTTGACAGGGACAAGGTGAAATGGGCGATCAACTCATTTCAACCATTTAAGGCGCCTGGAGGCGATGGTATCTACCCTGCTCTATTGCAGAATTGCATAGATATCATCATAGACCCATTAATAAAACTCTTTAGGGCTTGTTTTACTATGGGTTATATCCCTCATTCCTGGAGAGGAGTGAACGTGATCTTCATTCCCAAACTTGGGAACAAACCTATGGACCAACCTAAGTCTTACAGACCCATTAGTCTTACGTCTTTCTTATTGAAAACCGTCGAAAGGCTGATTGATCTGTACATACGGAATAAATTGGAACAAACTGTCCCACTCCACTCCACCCAATATGCCTACTCAAAAGGCAAATCTACAGAGGTCGCGCTGTATCATTTAGTCAGCAAAATCGAAAGCACGTTTCAATCTAAAGAAATCGCCTTATGTGCATTTCTGGACGTAGAGGGAGCTTTCGATAACACATCTTACGAATCCATATCTGGAGCACTGGCCCGTAAAGATATAGACTCATGTACAATAACGTGGATAGATAGAATGTTGCGTGATAGGAACATATCCTCCAAGTTAGGTAGCACTATCGTCAGCATTAATGCTGTACGGGACTGCCCCCAGGGTGGGGTTCTCTCACCATTGTTATGGACGCTGGTAGTCGATGACTTACTAGTTAAACTGGAGCAATCTGGATATCATGCCATAGGTTATGCAGATGACCTGGCAATCATTGTTACAGGTAAATTTGACACCACAATTACAGATGTAATGCAAGCGGCATTACACAAAGTCTCGAACTGGTGTATCAAAGAAGGCCTAAGTATTAACCCAAAAAAAGCGGTAATTGTGCCTTTTTCCAGAAGGTACAAAGTAAATATTGGGTCCCTATCTATTAAGGATACGGCTATCGAATGCTCCGATGAAGTCAAATATTTGGGGGTCACCCTAGATAACCGTCTTAACTGGAACACTCACCTGAATAATATAATTGGCAAAGCCATCCGGGTCATGTGGACATGTAGGACCTCATATGGTAGAACCTGGGGCATAAGTCCTAGAATTATATCATGGTTATACCGCACAATGGTCAGACCCATTGTAACCTACGCAGCTCTTGTTTGGTGGAATAAAGCGCAACAAAATGCTGCAATAGTCAAATGCAATAAACTGCAAAGACTCGTATGTATCGCTATGACGGGAACTATTCGAACATGTCCCACATCAGCACTGGAGTCCATAGTGGGTCTCACCCCTCTGCATCTCTTTATTAAAAAGACAGCAGCTATGAGTGCAGCTAGGCTACACCCTGTCATCGACATGCACGGAAGTCTCGTCAGTCAAAACTCTATCTGCAGACTAGTTCCTGGCATAGAGATCTGCGATAGGACAGATCGCATGAACATGGAACTTCGCTTCGGTAGGAAGTTCGAAGTCCTTATACCCGATCGACTGGACTGGGTAAATGGCACTCCTGGATTTGAACCAAAAGTGATATCATGGTATACTGATGGCTCAAAAACCAAAGAAGGAGTTGGTGCTGGAATATTTGGTCCTAACACCAGAATCTCGCTCGCGCTGGGTATATGGCCCACTGTCTTCCAAGCAGAGGTTCACGCCATCGAGGTCTGCGCTCGTATCAACATTAACAAAGGGTTGAAAGGCGCCCGAATCTGTATTTATTCAGATAGTCAAGCAGCAATTAAAGCGTTATGCTCCTGGAAGTTTTTCTCAAAGCTTCTAGCAGACTGCTATGACACACTGCAGCAGCTGGCAAGCAATAATAAAGTGACACTGTGCTGGGTGCCTGGTCACACAGGAATCCATGGCAATGAGTCTGCCGATAGTCTTGCACGGGCAGGATCCGCCACTCTAATATGTGGCCCAGAACCTTTCTGTGGATTAAGTTGGTCTACAACTAGGTCTCTAATCAATGATTGGATTTCAACCGAGAGAAGTCGCTACTGGCGCGACAGTCGAGGTAACCGTCAGGCTAAAGAGCTGGTTCTCCCTTATAGCTACAATAAGATATCCACTTTCAGCAGAACAGAGTTGAGGATGCTAGTGGGATATCTAACGGGTCACCATGGGCTACGTTACCATCTCAACAAAATGGGCCTATCTGAAGAGATAGATTGTAGACTCTGCTTAGAGGCAGAGGAGACAACCAGCCACATCTTATGTGACTGCCCAGCTCTGATCTGGGTCAGGAGGAGATCACTGGGTCGGGAATTGCTTTCACCTTCCGACATTAGGAAGTCCTCAACAACCGACATTTTGACCTTCATTCGAAAGGCGGAATGTCTATTGTTCAGTTAGGGTCTGTTGTAGCACAAAAGATCAATCATGGTCGCAGTGCTCTGCTCAAATGGGAGCTAGTACCCTGTTATTTCTATTCTATTCTATTCTATTATTAAAAAAACTAACTACCCAATTCTCTTACAAGAACACAGTGAATGAAAAAATAAAAATTCCTTAAAAAGAAAATATTCAAACGATTATAATATATTGTCATACGAAAGATGAAGCAAAGGAATTGATCCAAAATTTTGTTAAAAATAATGTTTTCGGTAAAAAATAGTTCACAATTTTTAAACATGTTTAATTGATACTAGTATTAATTCGTATACCATCATCAGTGAAGTCATCCAATTGACCACCCCTAAGCTTTAAGCATCCTATTCTATACTATTCTTCCAGAGTAGACATGGTGTGAAAAAACTGCCAAAAATGGTTTTCCTAGCAGGCACTCTCTGCACTCCTACAAGCCATATGATCTACCAACCAAAACCAGCCGAACTTAATTTTTGTAGTTTTACCTGCTTCAAGGTAGATCGCGTCCAGTTTGTGCTTGTATCATTTCTGTAATAGTTGAACACGACTAAGAGATCAGATTGCTTCTCGCTAAGCACTAAAGTTTCCGATTAATACGTTAGTATTAGTAGCACCATTTTCTTATATGCAATTAGATTGGATATTAAAATAAGATTTCTAAATTTAAAAAGCCTTGCGCAAATGTTTTAGACTGTGTTGGACTCAAGCAGCCACCGGAATTATCAACTACTACCATTAAACCAAGATAACTGAAAATTTGCCCTACTTTAAATCCTGATTGTGTCATCAACTATATATGTTCTTATTGCAATAAGAACTGTACTTTTATTATATATATTTTTTTTTTCATTTACCGTAATGATTGTTGTATTCGTCTATTGTAGCTTATGCCATTATCTGAATGGATTTGGTGAAGATCTACTCACTTGTTGAAGTCTCAGACTCTCGGATTGTTTCTTCAATACTATATTGAAACGGTGGCATGTCAGATCATCTAGTTGTTAAATGTTGTTGTTGATTAATTTAGATAACAATCCTGTTAGTCAGGATTATCCTGCTGCTGTTGGTTAATCTATATAGTAGTGTCAGTCTATTAATAATTAGCTTACGGCATTTAATTCTAAAAATTGGTGGTAGATGGTATAGTGTTGTAATGAAATATTGAGTTCTATTGCTTCGATTTCCTATTGTTTTTCAATTAACTGTCTACGTGTGGAAATCCAATAATTTGTTGATTTAGTTGATAAATGGCCAAATTTCTCTTGTGAGATGGATTAGATTATTTAATAGGAAGTATTCAGTAATGTTAAACCCGTATAATTACTGCATTCTTCTTTACCATCCTAGGTATATGACATATTATATATTGTATTGGTACTTTTTTTCGTATAAAGTTTAAAAGATTGACCAACGTTTGATGCGAATTTCAAAGGATGTCATAAGTGAATGACATACTGCACAAGAATATGATAGTTATATATAAACTATAAGGCTATATACTATGTATAAAATGGTAAAACACAAAATTTTTTTGAATATTTGGTAGCTCATTGTTCCACATTTATTTTGATTTGAAAAATAAAACTTTAGTAATAAAATAAAATTTGTCTTTAATTTTATTAGTCCTTTCCACTGAGAAATGGAAACAGTTTCCCCATACGTCCGTGAGAGGAATATTCTATAGTGATATTTTTTTATATAAAGAAATCGTGGTTGTTAAAATTTTATAAAAAATAACTTACACTTAAGTCGTAATATTTTCCTTAACAATTACTTTAGCCTTTCAAATAAAAATGTTAATTTTGTCTGCAAATTAGTCTGCAAACTAAGATATTTTTAAAAACAGAATTGAGCTATTTTAAAATATTTAACATTTACAATTATTACTGAGTAATTTCTGCTGTTAGAAATTTTTGTCACCCCTCCTCCTCTTCTGTTTTAACAATTTTAAGAAACATTACATTTCTTAAGTTGCAGGTCCATTCCATTTTATTTCCACCAATGTTAAAAGAATTTTAGCTGTAAATTTCAATAAAAAGCAATTAAAGTATATTCTGTTGACAGATATCGATAAATTCAAATTCAAATTAGTACTTTTTGAGACCAGCGCGCCTACGGTAATTTTTGATTATATGCCAGAAGCCCGCTAATATTGCAAGTAAGAAAGTAAATAATATTCCACAGCTGATCATACAACCTTTTACCATTTCCATAATAATTAAATTTTCAGTGGTTAAAAAGCATACTTCATCTCCAATAAAATATATATGGATTATTATTGCTGCCAGTAAAGTTAGGAGAGAAATCAAAAGCAGTTTGGACCACATATTTGCAAAAATAATTAAAATTTTAAACGAAACGTTAAAAGTTGAAATTTTTATGTCTATTTCTTTAAATATTTAAATATGTCAAAATTACGAACATTTAAATGGCATATTAAGGTTAAAATTAAATAAGTTAAGAATTAAATATTTATTAAATGAAATATCTACTTTGTTCGCATTGGGGGCCTACAGACCTTCTTCGATAAGTGCTTGGAAAATCATTGCATTCAGCATTTTCAAATCTATGCGTTGACGCTTCAATTACGTGCACTCATGTTTAAATCAATTCCGTTATGCTGAAATTAGCAAACCCATTTTTTTCTTAGACAACTGGGTTTTCGGTAATAAGCGGTGACAATTCAAAAATATGGACTTCTTAAGAAAACACGATAGTTTTAAAGATATAAATCTTCTATTTTCAGTAAATCTGCTACAAATTAATAGATAAATATTTTTGTATTGTACATCCTTCTCCAAATTTCCCCAAATTAAGAAAGGGAAGGCCCTTCTATTTATTTGTAGGAAGTTTACTGAAGACAAAAAATTTGTATGGCTTTAAATAAAAATTTTATTTTAATCCTTTAGAGCCTTAATTTTGAAGTTAACTACACTTTTGAACTAGACTTAATGTCTAGAAAAATAAGGGGTTACAGATTTAAATTAAGCAACTATAAATGTACTTAACACAGAGCTGACTTCATCAAACGCTTGTGATGTGTGCTATGCATACCTTTTGGTTATCTCAATTGCTAAAGTTTTTAGCAGCTGCAATTGGATAGTGTATTGGATTTCTTGACACACATAGTTTACTTACATGGGATCATATATCTTTTGAAATGTTCTTTTGTTTAACATCAAAAACAGATTTACTTGACATGATGTGATAGTCTATATCTCGTATTCATTTATAAAAACCGGGCAAATCAAAGACTTACACAATTGATGTATTAGGTCTTGACTACATCATAAATATGTTCGGAAAAAAGGTTCTGTTTGCCGTTTAAATATAGTATTTATAATAATTGTAAGTTTTAGTAAATGGAAGCTAAGATACTTTGTTTTGTGGAAATTATTTCAGGAGTCAAAATTTTAGTAATTTCGAATGCAACTGGCATAATGTAATATTAAATAAAATACAATCTTTAATACAAAAGATTATTATATTTGCACCAATAGTGAGAACATACTGACAGATGTTGGTTAAACGAGTGAATTAAAATCACTAATAATGCATATACTCGTATGCAATAAAAATTTGTCAGAAACTCTTAGCCTTAGGAATTTTATGGACTTTTTATAAAAATATTTCTATTTGGCTATTTTTTAGATATTATTCCAGATATTATTCTAGATATTAGCATATACACTTGTATTAGAGACAGAAACTTAATGCTGGTTGTTAGAAAAATATAATATAGTTAGGATCAATTCCATAATGCACACTTAAGTATACTTTAAGTGTTCGATCTTAGGCACTTAAGTGATAATTAACATTTAAATATATGTCACCTTAGAGTCAACTTAAAACGTAAGTTTGCATTTATATTTACATAGTGATAAATAGTTGTAAATTTGAAAAAGGTTTTTAAAAGGTTTAAATAATTTTTCTCATCTTAACATTTTTTTAGTGTTTTTGTCGAATCATATCTCGGCTACAGCAAATCACTTTAACATATTAATCATAACATCAAATTGCTCCTTAAGACTTTATTAAATAACCATATTATATTTTAATTCACATAAATTTTTAAAAAAAATATTAATTAACAGCCAATATTTTAACATTAATCTCCCATTTCATATCATAGGGCTTAATGACACGAAATACGAGCTTATATAAGCCTGGTTCCAAGTGAGGAAAATTGTTCGTTGCTATCTCACATTTATTAATTTGAAACTTCTGTTTTTTTAGTGGAGGCACAAATGAAGTTTTAAAAACTGGTGCATTCGGTACACATTTCTGTACGGACTCCATTAAATAACGTTTATAGACATTAGTCATGAAATCATCAAACTTTGAGGCGGGCATTTTGAATGGAGTCGGAATGTAGTTATTATTTCCTGCAACGCTTTTTAAAACGAATAATTCAACTATCCAGTCACTTGTGACATCTTCTTTTATATCTATAAATCCGTTTAACGCATATTTACCCCGAGAAATTCGAACAGCTGTGCCCTTAGAATCCAGTTTGTCAGGGTTAGATGTGATAAAGTCTACGCTTAACGGTTCATAATTCCAGTTTGACTGTAAATAGATAAAAATATTTTTATATTCATTTATGTATACGAATAATGTTACCTTTCCCCAACAAACAATATGAAGAAACATACACCATAACAGAAAATTGACGGTCCTTAACATCGCGAATTTCTCTATTTCTCGATATATCACAAACTGATATTTCAGCTTTGTTCGCTTTGTTTAAATATGAATTCTTTGTCTGATACATCTCCATTTAAAGTAATTAAACTAATTATAATTAATTAAAATAATTTGAAATGTTATTTGTTCTCAGTAACAACATTTGATAAGAGATCAGTCATGTAATAAAAGGCACAATGTAACATAACCAAGTCTATTTAAGCTGTAATTAATAAATCAGATCGCTTTTATTTAAATTATAATCTACATTGATAAATCTGCAATAAACAATATTTTTAACTCATATAATTTTTTTATATATCAAAACATTTAAAATCTTCTGAAACGTTTTGGGGCACCCATTGGTTTATTAACTATTAACAATAAAAAAGATCTGTTGTAGACAGTCTCGTAAGGCTTATATTGTTTCGAAGGCTTATATTGTTTGTTGGCAGTGACGATTGCTCTAAGGTGCGGAGGTGTGCGGTGAACACCCTAACATAATTTGCAAAATGTCAAATAACATAGGTATATAAATTTATTAGGTATCTTCACATCAAGAATTATTATTAATTATTACATTTCCATATACATATATATTTTTTAAAGTTTTAGCAAAAACAATTAAATATAATTGTCTATGAAAACTCAATCAATTTGCTTCTGTTAGCTGCTATCATAGAGTATATATACTCTTTGCTGCTATACTTGTTAGGTGTGCTCATATATTTGCAGCTCAAATCACAGAACATTTCTATTTTATTTCGTCTCTCCCCTTTGTGTGCAAAGAAGTTGGCAGCACATTCATACGTTGCATATGAACAAAATAATGTGCGTGTGCTCCCGTTCGTAATATCAGAGATAGAGATTTATATAGTGAGAATTGTATGAGAGTAATTTTCTGTTCTATTCGAATATCAACTGCATGCATACGAATCCAACATTATGATTTGCCAAAGTGGTTGCATGGCGGCTGAAGTTTGCAGCTCATCTCACCATACATTTCTATCACATTTCGTCTCTCCCCTTTTAACAGCAGCACCCACGAATTTCTGTTCTTATGGTGCGGGGTACTTGTGCGCACATTGCAAGTGGTTTCGATTTTGTTTGATCACTGCACAAACATGTATGTTTCTAAGTACAAACTCTTTTGTTTGAAAAAAGTTGGTTTGATGTTACGAGAATTATGTGAAATGTTTTGTTTCTTCCATATTGATATAATATTAAATTTATATATAAATTATTAATTTAATTTGTTTAATATGTTATTTTGTTAATGAATTGTTAATATAATATTGCGAATATATTGTTGCCTAATATAATATGGTTATTATTAATAAAACATCTCATATATTTTAATTTAAGTGGTACATGTAAAAAAAACATTAAAGAAGAGCCGCACACCCTTCCAAATAGGGCACGCGTCGTCACTGTTTGTTGGACTATTTGCGATCATATTTAATCTTTTTGATTGGAAATTTGTTTGGTAGATTATACCATACAGTATCCTGTTATCATTAGTATTTCATAGAACGAGATTTGAACAAAATAACACTATTAGATAGCTTAATTAATTAATAACCTCGATTTTAAAGATTAGCTAAATAGGTTTCCTCCATAAATAGTAGCATAAAGTATAGGGGAAACAGTGTACCATTATTACCAGAGAGGGCTGTGAGTCCTCTCTAAGAACGTGACCGATGTACTGATTGAAAAGAAGAAGGTAGGTCATGATGTTTTGACATATCCCACAACAACCCCCACTCAAAAACAAAAAAAAAGTTGGCGAAAGTACAGAAGTTTGTTTTTGCAGGCAGTTATTCAAACGAAATCTCTATTTTGATGACCTCTATCAATTAATACATGAAAATAGATAAAAATAGTTTTTAATTACCAGAGAAATTACATAATAACTTTAATACAATAACTGTTTGGTTTTGGCTTGTCAGTTTATTAAAATGTGCACCCCTCTGTCCAATTTGTTGAATACGCTCACGCAGATAGGGTATATCTACATATGGTAATAGGCGATAAAAACCCATTAGATACCTCCTTTTATTGATTTAAGTGGTAGAAACTTAAGTGCCCATAATATTTGTATTGTGCTGTTTCCCACAGTACAAGAAATTATGTCCTTACGCATGGGTTCTGTAGGTACCAACTAAACTTGTTCTAATTAAGCATTGATCAGGGCATTATATCAATCCGAATGTTAAAAATACCGCAATATTATACTCGTTTCATCATGGCAAGTAATCACGTAAATCGTTGCAGATGTAATACACGATTACTCAATCTCAAAATAATAAATCATATAAAATGCAATCTAAACTAAAACTGCCAGAGATTTTTCAAAGATTTTATATTTGAATAACAAATAAAACGTATTAGTATAACCTTTGTAAATGTATGTCTTGCTATCTACAGTTGTTGGGTCTGAATGGTTTATGTATTCTACGGTCATGTATTGGTTTTGATAGTTATAAATTACTTAAAACATATGATTCGTTACCATTTACATCATTTTTGTGTTTATTTATAATGTATAGAAATAACATACCTGTAAGTAAAATTACATATGAAAGTTGATATATTTTACAATTTAATTATGTTAACGGGAAGAATTCGGGTAATACAGTAAGTCAGGGAGTTGCCTGAAAAAATTTACGTTTATTAGCCGTATTTTCTTTTTTTCAGAGCAGCAAAACAATAATCGCAACTTGCGAAAGACGAAATGTAAAATAGCAGAAATGCTCTTAAAATTTTCAAATTTTACTCGCAAACAGTTTTACGACTTAATCTTTAGTGCGGCCAAGTTCAGAAATCAGTCTATTGTGAATGTTGTGTACTTTGCCAAATTTATCATCAATTAGTCGATTTCTTCTACATCAAGGACAATTACTTTCTTATAATTCTTTATTACATTTTAATGTAGGTTTTAAGTAGGTGTAAAGTCTACTCTTGTGGAAGTTACAATAAATGCATTATCCATAATAAATATATATAGTAAACCAAATATTACATTTTCGCAATTGATCATTTTTGGTTTAATATTCTCACTTATGAAAAACTTTCATTTGTAATGATAAGTAACATATTGTAGAGTCTAGTATTTGATGATAGTCTTAAAGTTCGCCTTCATATGAAACATGCATTTTCATATATTTATGAAAACATTTTATATTAATCATATTCTAAAATTCTATATTCTAAAATCAATTGTTTTTTCCATTAATATGATTCATTAAATTAATGTATGTTATATTATATACCTGTTTATGTATATCCGTCAATGACTACTAATTTATGACAAAGATGTAACAAGTTACTTTACAATCAACTCTCAAGTGGTATACTGAGATTTAAGTCTTTGTAGTAGCTGGCGGGAAAATAAGGCCAACCCTCTGTTCGTAAATTATACTGATACAGAATTTGGCGACGTTTTGTAGCGGGAGGTGCCAATTTTCCGTTTGTTGTACAATTCCTTATTGAATTTATAGTATTCATTCTTTTATTGAAACTATTAGAAACGGTTCTTGACCCACTTAACAGGAACACTATCGAACTGACTCTGGCAAATTGGCAACGGAGGCACTTATTTCACAAGTTGATAAATTTATGTTCTTTATGAAATATACTTTTTTCTTTGATATTGATATCAAAGACACCTTCAACACGTTTGCTCTTATATTGTAATAAAATCCTTCTCAGATTTGAATCTGGACGAACATTTGGTGAAATTTATTAAGGTATTAGTCAAAACCAGAATTATCAGTTCTGGTAACAAAAGTTTTTAATCTCGTAGAGTGCATTGTATCAGTAAGCCATAGGGTGGCGTTCTTTCATCATTCACATTCAAGTACATGTCACCTTAGACTCAAGTCATGTGTGCATTGGTCCTTAGAGAAATATATAAATTATTTTAATATATATATTTCATATCTAGTAATAAATTGTCTTAAATTTGAAAAAGGTTTTTAAAAACCTTAAACAATTTTTCTCATCTTAACATTTTTTTAGTACTTTTGTCGAATCATATCTCGGCTACAGCAAATCACTTTAACACATAAATCATACCATCAAATTGCTCCTTAAGACTTTATTAAATAATCATATTATATTTTAATTCACACACATTTTTAAAAAAAATATTAATTAACAGCCAATATTTTAATATTAATCTCCCATTTCATATCATAGGGCTTAATGACACGAAATACGAGCTTATAAAAGCCTGGTTCGAAGTGAGGAAAATTGTCCGTTGCTATCTCACATTTATTAATTTGAAACTTCTGTTTTTTTAGTGGAGGCACAAATTTAGTTTTAAAAACTGGTGCATTCGGTATACATTTCTGTACTGACTCCATTAAATAACGTTTATAGACATTAGTCATGAAATCATCAAACTTTGAGGCGGGCATTCTGAATGGAGTCGGAATGTAGTTATTATTTCCTGCAACGCTTTTTAAAATGAAAAATTCAAGCATCCAGTCACTTGTGATGTCTTCTTTTATATCTATAAATCCGTTTAACGCATATTTACCCCGAGAAATTCGAACAGCTGTGGCCTTAGAATCCAGTTTGTCAGGGTTAGATGTGGTAAAGTCTACGCTTAACGGTTCATAATTCCAGTTTGACTGTAAATAGATAAAAATATTTTTATATTCATTTATGTATACGAATAATGTTACCTTTCCCCAGCAAACAATATGAAGAAACATACACCATAACAGAAAATTGACGATCCTTAACATCGCGAATTTCTCTATTTCTCGATATATCACGAACTGATATTTCAGCTTTATTCGCTTTGTTTATATATGAATTCTTTATCTGATACATCTCCATTTAAAGCAATTAAACAAATTATAATTAATTAAATAATTTGATATGTTATTTGTTTTCAGTAACAACATCTGATAAGAGATCAGTCATGTAATAAAAGGCACAATGTAACATAACCAGACCAACTTTGGCTGTAATAATAAATCGGATTGCTCTTATTTTATTATTTTGGAATCAATTATATGAGATTTGAAGCTATACTGTCAACAATTCTAGCGGTTCTAACAAATGTTATGTCACACATATCATTTTTGATCTCCGAGAGACATGCTAGTTTATGTGTTTTGATGTTAGATTATTATTGCTTATTATTACAAAACCGGCTGCTTGAGTTTCTAAAATATAAAACCCTGTAAATCTTATATTAAATGAATTTTCTAGATGAAAAATGATCGTTCGTAAATTACACTTATATAAAATTAATCGACATTTCCAATGTCGAAATGTTGTACAAATTCTTATTAAATTTCTTGCAAATCGTGTATAAGGTCCATTGATAAATTTGTAGATTAATCTATTTGGTATCTACTATGAAGTTGGATTCAATTTCAATTTGCTTTTAAAAACACGTCGTAAAAAAGTTGTTTTTATAATCCATTCATCCATATCTGTCTAAAAACCATAAAACTATCAAAAGCATTTACATGAACTAACTCATAAACTTACTCATATATCAATTAATTACATTTGATATTATGTGTTTCTGTTATAGAATATGACATGGTGAAAATTATATATGATAATCGAGATTAATTACATGTATTTAAATGTTTTTTTATTGATAATCAATTACATTGATAGAGCAGTAAATTTATTAAAACAAGTGCAATTGTTGGGATGCAGGGTCTGCAGCTTCACATCGGAAAAAACACCAGCTGTGCAACCTTCTTTGCAAAATAAGAAGAAGAAGTGTATTGTGTCATTTAATGATTTGATGGATAACAAAATAAAAATTTGTTTTTAGAATGAAAAATGAATTAATGATCAATTTTAATATATAATATATTCCTTAATGTGAATACAAATTTTCCCAGACAATGTACAATATAATTATCTCCTCGCCAGTCACTGTGACAAAATAATGACAAGTGATTCACGAGTACTCTCCGCCAGCCAGACCGATCAGTGACGTGCTGTCGCCAATTGGGGCAGTACCGATCGCTCCCTAATCGTTGGTTACCTGGTCCTTCCAGGTGAACGTCCTCTATCACCTATGGGTACCGACTCAAACACCATTCTAGCCACCGTTCTAGCCAACTATGTCAATGTCGCTGTATAACTCATACAGCTCATCGTTCCATCTAATTCGATAGTCGTTCCATATCAATAGAAATATCAAATTATCCACGTCGAAGTCGGATAATTTTTTTTACCAGATCGAAGTATTTTGATAGATATTATAGAAATAGACTGAAGTTCGTAGCTCCTTGTTGCCTGCATTGACAGAAGTGTTTTCAAATTGTTAATATTTAGGAATCATAAATCATAACTTATTTAATACCTTTTTACAAGGTTCCTGGATTATTATAGCAAAAGCAAAAACAGATATTGTAAGTCTCTGAAAAGTAACCATTTCGATACATAAAGTTAGACTGGAAGATGAATATGAATCTGCCGTGTTTAAATAGTTAAACATATATCAAGTAACTTAAGTTGCTTTTATGTATTTACGTAAGGAATTGCGATAGATGTAAGATAGAATTAGGATCACTTGTTAAATGTATTTTATTGTTTTATTAACTTATGGTATAATATTATTAACTAATGAAATTAGAAATATTTTAAAAATCAGTTAAAGCGTCGATTTTGACCAGTGGTTAAAAAAGAAATGAATCATATAAAACATTTCGTCCCATTGTGATATAAAAACATTTGTTTCTTGAAAAATCAGTTCTCATAATTATTTTATTCTTACAGCAAAGACGTAACACAGAAGTTAAGAATTATCGTGATTAGTAAAATTCTATGTACTTTGAAAACTAAATGAAAATGAATGAATGAAACTATGAAACTATAAAAAAACAATATTAACTTTCCATAAGGTACATTACATTTACCAAGATAGTCTTTGTACTGTTGTGTATTTTTTATATCTAAAAGTAATTTAGGAAATGGCCTCAACTTTCTAGAAGTCGTATTTTAGACTGAGAATGAACTCATCAACCGAAAGAATTTAAAGAACTGTTTATGGAAAATCCATACGGAACGTTAGAATATCTTCTAAAAACATAAAGCGCTCACAGGACTACTATTTGTCAATATCTATATTCATTGAACATAGTACATAGTGGTAGGAATTGGACACCATATCAATTTAATAAATTAAGTTTTAAATATATAAAAATTAAATATATTTCGCAAAGAGGCTAGTAACGAAAAATTAATTTGTTACGACGACTCAAATCAAAAATTTTAATTATAAAATTTATCTTCGATGTGATGATAAATGACAAATAGATAAAAGTTATAGTTTTTGTTAAGCAACGCTGTAAAAAAATGAAATTTTTTTCGATCAAAGAATATAAGTTCTATTTGAAAAAAAATATACTGTAACCCATGCCCAATCAAACTACCTAGAGGATCTAGAATATGCTAACGCATTTGCCTTCTCTTAACACGACAACTAGATATGCAAGATAAACTTAACGACTTAGTTCACGTATCGCGAAATGTTGGTCTTACAGTGAACACGGCAAAGATGAAAGCAGTGAAGATAAACAATTCTGACTCTACCGGCAAATTCAATCTAGACGATATAGAAATCGACAACGTAAACAGATTCACATATTTAGGCAACTTAATATCTTCAGCCGGTGCCGCCACAGTCGACATCCAAAACCGAATTAATAAGGCATGTTCCGCCCTTTCGTTGCTGAATAAAGTATGTAGCTTGTCAATACTTTCCCGGCATATCGAGCTGCGATTATTCAACAGTAATGTCAAAAGTGTTCTACTCTACTGCTTCGAAACTTGGCTCACTACCAACAACTTGATTCATAAACCAACGGACGGAGTTCCATGAAATTCCATCATGGCCCAAAAGACTTTATAAAAATCGCTTTTAAAATCGATTCGTCAATTGTATCCGCAAAACCATCAAGAGCATATATCCACGTGAAATCTGTTTAATTTTTAGATCTAAGTTTAAACAGAATAAAGTTCACAAGTCGATCATATGCAATTTACTTTATTTATGACTTTTATATTCCATTGAGTACCCTTTCAAAGGATTTCTGTAGTAATATTGCAAATATTACATTTAATTGATTTAAATGTATCCATTGCAATATATGCAATTCAACTAGAAGATTAATGTGAATCGGTCATATTTAAATACAGTTTCGTAAATCAAATAACTAAAGTTGATATTATGTGTTCATGTCTTGTAATGTGATGGGAGTAAGATAAATTTAGGATTACTTGCTATATAATTGCATGTATTATGAATAGATTATAATTAATTCATATACATACCAATTTAACACAAATTCTGAGAATTTCCTTTGAGTATTAATAAATAATTAACAAAAAATTACTGCTTGCTTTTTAATATAAGGAACTATCTCGAGAAGATGTTTGAAGTTTATATTAATATGTTTTAGGTTAATACGAGTAAGCCTACTAATTAACAATAAATTTTTCTTTAATATAATATTTATACGAAGAGGTTAGTGATTCTCGATAAAACTTTTATTATTAATGAACTTTCAAAAACTCACTACACATTTGTAGAATAAATTTTTGTTTTTTTTTGTAATTCATTACATTATTGCTTAATTCTTCTGTTAATACCAATTTACAATTAGGACCATTAATTAATTTATTAAACATTAATGAAATAGTTTGCAATGATCAATTACAATAAAATGTAATTCTTATCTCCTTCAGATTACAGAAATTGTTTTAAGACGGTGTCATATTAGAAGTGATTTTTATAAGAAATTCCCAGCTTGTATATTGTGGTTGTAAGAGTTGCAAAATAAATTTATATACACCACTGGAAAGGTAAGGCCAATCATCCGTATTTATATTGCACTTATTAACTGAAATGCGACGTTTTGTTAGTGGAGGTACAAAATTTCCTTCAAAATATACTCCATTTGTTGTACAATTCCTTAATGACTTCATAACAAATCGCTTATAAGGCCCATTAATAATGTTATGAACTGTGTCCGTTGGTACCTCAAACGGCGTTGGTTTGTAGTTATTGTTCCCAGAAAGACTTTGTAGTGTCGTGACATTTGCTATCCACTTATCCGTTGTGTCTTGTTTAAAATGAACAAAACCATTTACACCGTATTTTCCGCGTGAGATGCGTATAATTTTCAAATCGCTATCTACGTAGTCTGTTCCAGATTTATTTATGGTAACAGATATAAATTCATATGTCCACGTCACCTTTGTGAATATAAAATACTTTTAATTTTTACTTCATTTATCACTTAATAATTTATCACTTACTTTTCCAAAGGATTCGTGCAGGATCGTTGCGAAAATAAATATTATAAATAATTTTAGTTTAATCATATTCGATTTTGGATTGAAACTAAAAATTTATTGCTCAGACTGTATATTTAAACAAAAATTATATCACGACAGAAATCTGGAAACAAAATAAGCTTATTTCTATTTTGTTATTTTACATAATGGATGTAAAATATTATCAATTTTCGGTACAATAATCTACTATAATGCAAATTTTACAATTAATAGTTCCTTTAAATAAAATCATTGCAATTTATTCAATTTAACTGAATTATTAATCTAATACTTACGCTTGTATTCAACATATAAAGTAGATATGATCTGTTCATGCTATATAATGTGATTGGTGTATGATAAATTTAGGATTACTTGTTATATAAATTAATTGTTATTAATAATTCAGTTACTTGTTATATGAATTGATTGCAATTAATTCTTAATAAATAAATTAAATACAAACAACATTATGAAATTTAGAGTATAGTTCTCATTTCTGCGAAGGGGCTATAAACAAAATTAACCATAAATACTTTCCGAACTAAGGGACATTCAACAAAAAACATTTTTATTCGAATGTTATCCTTGTGACGTACAAGATTTAAATGAAAATTAACAAGAAAGGGATTCTACCAACTTTTATTACACTTAGTATTAAGTAGTAGTAGTAGTAGCTTTATTTTTACTTCATTTTAAAGTTATTATATTACATCGAAGTTATATAATAATTATAATACATATAATTATAATAAATATACATAAAGCTTACAGCTATGGCATTTTAGCCGTCTGCCGGAAGTTTAGATTAATCTAATAGCTAATTAACTAATAACTAATTAATCCAATTTTTATAAATATTAAATAGGTATTCTTGCTTATGAGCTCAATACAACATAAAAATTAAATTAAATTACTTTAACAAAAATAATAGATTTTATATAAGTTAATTTAAAAGTCTTCATTAATAATATTTTGCCTATATTTAAATGTAGTTTTAATAAACGCCGTTAACAATCTCCAGTTGGGGCCATTCAGTAACCGTATGGTTTCATTGACATCGAGCGCGGGTTTACCGAAGTACAGCAATCTATGTTCTTTAAAAATTGGGCATTCACCTACTAAGTGTATAACATCGCCTTTCAATTTAAGGTTGCATATCGTGCACAGCGTGTCTAGACTTTCATGCGGTACGTAGCACAATCGTAGGAGCTCGCCGCGGGTTTTGAAGATTGTCCTTATTGTTTCTAGGTCATATTGCTCGTGAAAGTAATTATTGACACCTAGATCATAATTCAACTTACTATATGCATCTCTCGATATACTGTTTCTTGCCGTTTCTACAAAATTTCTTCGTTCTTCAATACTTAGTTTCGTTATTATATTTTTTTGCCACATTTTCCAGTTTTCATTAATACTCAAATCATTAGTTATATTTAACTCGGATGCCAGATTTGACCATTTTTCAAAAAATAATGTTTTTTCATTTATTAGGTACTGCGCTAATGTTTTTTGAATCCTATTGTCTGGCAAATTCCTAACACGATTGATGTAATCAAAATGCAATTTTAATGTTTGGGTATATAGTGTCGGTAGACCAGTTTCTAAATGCACCATATAATTTGGGGTATTTTTCGGCAAGCGAAACGTTCTCTTTATATAAAATGTCTGCAATTTTTCTACTGCGTCATATTTATCAACACCCCAGATTTGCGCTGCATAATTTAGAACTGACTTAACTGTGGCTTCAAAAACTTTGTATTTTACGGGCAGTGACACTTTCGGATTTCCTAAGACATTTATCCAGGTACAATTAATGGCCAATTTAGCTTCCTTTAACTTCTCGTTCAAGTGGTTATCGAATTTTGCGTTATATTTCATATTTATTCCTAAATATTTATAATTATTAACCACTTCTAATTGATCATCGTTAAGGTACCATTTTTCATCATTTCTCAATCTTCTAGCATGTTTCCTAAATACCATCACTTTTGATTTGTCTGTATTTATAGATAGTCCCCATAAGTTGCAATATCTATTTAATTCATCTATCATATTTTGTAACATTATTGGAGAATCTGCAAACAACACAATATCATCAGCATATAATAGTACTTTTAGGCACATATTGGCAATCGTAACACCACCAGAAAGAAATTTATTTAAGTCATCAACGAACAGTGCAAACAATATAGGGCTTAAGACACAACCTTGTCTCACTCCGGTACACGTTTGGAACCATCTCGATGTACTTCTTCCGTCCCATACTGTTGACTCATTGTTGCAGTATAGACTTTGCAGTATTTTCAAAATTTTTGTTGAAAGACCCAGCTGGCTTAGTTTTTAAAATAGTACGTTTCTTTGTATTGTATCGAAAGCAGCTTTAAGATCTACGTAAAAAACATATAACTTCTTGCTTTTTGCAATAAACTCTTGCGCTACACTAGTGATGACGAAAATATTATCTACCGTGGAGTAACCTTTTCGAAATCCAGCTTGAAATTCGCTTAATATGTTGTTTTGATCAACCCAATTTTTAATTCTGTTATACAGGAGTGTTGTAAATACTTTAGCTGATGTATTAAGAAATGCTATTCCTCTATAATTTGCTACATTATTTGGGTCACCTTTTTTAAATAGGGGAAATGTTATGGCTTTTTTGTAACTATCAGGTGGGGCTGCATTTTCAAATATATAATTGTATGATTCAGCCATATGCTCTATAAATTGTGGCGTGGCATATTTTAAAAACTCAGCTGGAATTCTGTTTTCACCTGCGGCTTTGTTATTTTTTAAATTCTGGAGCACTGCATAGACCTCTTCAATCTTTATTGGAGCATCTAACGCTTCATTTATTACATACGGCAGGGCATAACTGAAAGAGTTGCTTACTATATTGCTATTTAACTGGTTTTTAAAATGTGCCGCCAAAGCTTCGGCGTCCACTTTAATTCCTTTTATGTAATCTGCACGATTTATTTTTTTAACTCCACTCCAAAATGATTTGCTATCAGCTGCTTGGGATATCGACATTGCCATTTCATTGAAATATGACTTCCTTTTCTCATCACACAGCTTTTTGTATTCTCTGTTTACATTTTTGTATTTCTCTAAATCAGCTATATCACCACCTTTTTTAACTGTTTTGAGCCATTTAAATGATTTCTTTCTTGCAGTTTGACATTCAAAATCATACCATTTTTGTTTCCTATTTATACCCGCCGAATTACCCTGAAACGATTTTGCTGCTTGTTTTACACAATATTGAAGAATGTCATCTCCTTCCTTCGACGCAAATGTACTACCTTCGCATGCATTAAGGGATTCTACAAGCTTTTCTTGGTACAGATCTTTATATTTATCTTTCCATATCAGTTTCGGTAGCAACTGCATTTTATTTTCATTTGAATTAGAGGCATCTAGATTTACCATAATTTCCAGTGGCTGATGATCCGAGTATATCATGTCACGTATTTGAAACTCTTCAGTTATTATTAACCATACTCCTTTCACAAAACAATAATCTATCGTTGACCTTGCTACACCTCTGATAAACGTAAATGTACCCTCTCTGTCGCCTTTAGTGCGGCCATTTAACACGGTGACACCAAATGAATTGCAAATTTCTAGTAATTGTTTTTTCATTTCTATCTACAATTGTATCCATTGCTACTCTGTGGCCCAATAATTCAGTCCACTGCATATTTGGGCTGAGTTCCAGACATTGTTCTTTGCCTATGCGTGCATTGAAGTCACCTATTATCATGACATTTTCGTTCTGAGCTTCCACTAATATTTCACATAAGTTATTGAGATCATTTAGCCAGTTATTGCAATTTAGGTAAACTGGGATTAAACATAACTTTTGATTATTAGTGGTTATCTCGATTATTGTTGAGTTCATAATGTGCTTGAACACCACAGTACCGCAAAATTGCAATTGCTTTCGTACACCATACAATTTTCCTCCACTGGCTCGACCTCTATTTGTTGTTTTTGTTGCAGGCACCCAATGAAGATTGTATTCTATAAATGTGTTTTCAATATAATCTGTCTTACTTACTAAAAATGTTTCAAATAATACAAATATATCGAATTTTTTAACATACTTCATAAATTCTATAAACTTATACTTATTTGCTAAACCAGCTACATTATACGATAATATTTTAAATTTATATGCTAATTTAGTGTCTGACCTGGCGGTATTTTCAATTTTTTGTTTGGCATCTTTAACGATTTCCTTTTTTACTAACAGTTTTTTGGCTGATTTATTTTTTTAAAAAGCTTGTTTTTCTCGAGCACTTCTTCCACTTCAATCTCACCATACAATTGCTTTAATTGCTCAACAGCGTCACCATCTTTGCACTTTAGTTTCTTGTTTTTATCAAAGTGCATCCATTTTCCTGATATATTTATACTGTCATTTTTAACATAAATTTTGTGAGTCTTTCTGATGGCTTCCAGATCTCTTTTCAGCTGTAATAAAGCTGATTTATTTTCCTGTTTAGTCACGCTCAAGTCCTTTTCAATATAAATCGGAGTGCCATGCAGTTTTTTACCATTCTTTAAGACATCTTTTGCCATTTCTGATGTTTCCAATTCTGCAATTACACTCACTTTATTTTTCTTTTCAAATATTACTTTTGTGTCTCGAACTTTAATACTTGTCATAGCCATTTTATCTCGGAAAATTGCCTCCACATCACTTTTTTTTGCTTTATCTTTTAGTAAACCTTTCAATAGTACATTACGACTTTTACTTTGTTCGACAAGTCTTTCGATCTCCCTCCTGTCCTCATCTCTATCATTTCTTAATTGTTCTAATTCTAGTTTTAGCCTTTGGTTCTCGTTCTCCAATTTTTCCATTTTCACAGACACGTTGCCTATCTGTTCTTTAAGTTCGCTTATGTCACTCTTTGATGCTAGCGTAGCTATTTGGGAATCAAAGTTGTTACTCAAGCCTGCAATATTCGATTCGAATTTATCCGTCATTTGCTGAATAGACAGCATAACATCACCGAGCGATAAGTCTGGCGAAAGCTCAGATCGCATACGTTTTTCTTGCCTCTGTGCTTGCCTATTCGGTGTGCACAGGTCCGATTTACTCGTGGCTTTTTTTGCGTCTGCTGGTGGCGATCTTTCAACTGGCATTTTATATATATATGTTTTATTTAATATTATGATATAACTGAAAAGTTAATTTTTTAATTTTTTAAATTCTGCTTGTGTTTTCTTTGAAAGCATAAAATTCGGTTTGATACACAAACCCGACAGCACAGACAAGAACCACTCAGAGCTTTATACTTAGTATATTTTCTATAATTTTGTATCGAGCTTAACGCTGAATATAATTTTAAGTTCCACTGATCGTAAGCACTTTTGTGTATATTTGGTTTTTTACTGTTGTTAAATACAACGTTAGTTTGTCCACTGAAGTCTCAATAAATAAAATTATATTATTATCAAATTTTTGCACAACATTCCAACGCGTAGTAATTACACAAACGTTTATTTTCAGTAATCAACCAATTGTCATTAGTTTCTCACGATACAACTTAAATTTTTCATTAAACTTTTCAGCGCGCGCACTTATTAGATATCATTCAATAGGGTTGCCAATCCAAACCATCCAAACCACCAATCCAAACTTAGTATTAATAAATAAAGAATTACACTAGTTAACAAAATCAAACAATCTGAATGAATATATTAGAAAAATTATTTCAATAAATATACATTAAAAGTATGCGGAATTCGTTTTCTGTAAATGATCTTAGAAGTCACGTATATAAAGCAGTAGTGGAACGTTATCAGAAAAGGACTGTTCTTTCTGTCAACTATTGTTTCGATTGTGGTGAGTGAGCTTCAGTGCACGGAAACGAGAAATGCGAACAAAAAACAATTGACCAAAATTTCGTTTTAGATTAACGAAATATTTTTTTCATAGTACATATTGTCTACAGTAGTTTAATATAAATGTTAAGAATTTCGTTCGATGGGTTTGATTTGAGAAATTATCTCGAGATGATATTTAAATGTACATAATATGTAATAGTCATTAATTCTGTAGTAATTAATTTTCTGTTACATTTCATGATATATAAACTAATTTTATTTTATGCTCATAAGCCTATTAATTAACAACAAATTTTTCTTGAATAGAATATTTATGAATAGATTCTTTATTTAATAGTTTTGTACATCATACGGTCATATTAAGATATCTAAAGGTAATACAGATAAAACAAAAATATAAATTCAAATTAAATCACAAATTTATGTGGCGTTGCTTGACATGATACTATGGTCAAAATTTGCTCGTTAGTGAGCCTTGATAAAATTTTTTGATAGTTCTTTAAAATATTAGTTTGAAAATGAATTAACCAATGAATGACAGCCAATGAATAAGCCAATATTAATAAATCTCACGCAGTGTTTTTCTAGACTACACAACACTATTGTTTTATTTTCTAATAAACAACAATTCACAATTAGGTAAATATATATAAATCATACTATTTGTAATTTTTATCTCTTGAACATCACAAAAATTGTCTCAAGAGGGAAAAATATTACTAACGGCTTTAAAAGAAAAATCCCAACTTATATATTGTGGTCCTAAAATTCGCACTACAACTTTATAGACCCCGCTGGAAAGGTAAGGCCAATCTTCTGTTCTTATGTTACACTCATTAAGTAATATGCGACGTTTTGTTATAGGAGGCACAAAATTTCCTTTAAAATATACTCCATTTGTCGTGCAGTTTCTTACCGAATTCATAAAAAATCGCTTGTATGCCCCATTCATAATGTTATGAACTGTGTCCGTTGGTACCTCAAACGGCGTTGGTTTGTAGTTATTGTTACCAGTAGCACTTCGTAGTATCGAAATATTTCCTATCCACTTATCTGTTGTATCTTTTTTAATATCAATAAATCCATTTAGTCCGTATCTTCCGCGGGAGATGCGTTTAACTTTTATATCGCTATCTATGTACTCTGTTCCAGATTTCTTTATGTTGACAGATATATATTCATAGGACCACAACGCCTTTGTGAATATAAAATACTTTTAATTTTTACTTCATTTATCACTTAATAATTTATCACTTACCTTTTCGAAAGATTCGTGTAGGATAATTGCGAAAATAAATATTATTAATAATTTTGAATTGGACATAATGGATTTTGAATTGAAACTAAAAATTTGTTGCTAAATTTTTATATTTAAAGCAAAATTTTTCGTGATAGAAATCTAAGAAACAAAGTGGCTTGTTTGTTTTTTATTATTTTATTTATTTTATGTAAATTGTTATCAAATTTTGGTACAATGATCTACTACATTCCAAACTTTACAATTTCACGTGTTCTAATAAAATATTTAAAATTTTTTGAATATATTGTAATGTACTGGTAAGTTATAACATGTACTAGTAAACAATGTAATTTTGCTATATATATTATAATACTATTTTAGTACTTTAATGTTTTTATTTTACTATATAGGATACACACACGATTCTAAAGCACTGATGTGTTCTTATGAATTATTGGTAATAATACTATAATGCTAATTGTTTTATATGATTATGTATAAAGATAACAATATCAATAGGTTAGTATACATTCCGTGCTCCCTAAAATTCAAATTGTTGCTTCACTGAATAACAATATCATAAGATATCTGTCGCTACTACAATAATTCATAATATTAATTTTTATGTTTATTGTTTAGATTTATATTTTTTCATTAATTCTTTTTTTTTTTAATTAATTGTGACTAATTAAAATAAGGTTTTTGATTATCACCGAGTTTATGTCGTTTATTTAACTCATAAAATTATAAAAAACTACATTTATTTATTCGTTTTAAATATAATTAAATTATTAATTATATTTAAAATATTAAATATAATTAATAATATTTAACACAAAATAATAAGTGTAATTTTTTATAATTTTATGTATTGAATAAACGACCAAAGCTCCCGGGGATAAACAAAAATTTTAGATTTATTTTTATAAATAGGATAGTTTTCCTTTTCATATTTTTTATGACCCTCTTTATATGTTTTTTGTTGGTATTTCATCCCGAAATGGCGATATTTATATAGATAATAACTATTTGTTTTCGGTTTTTTATTTAAAAATAAAAACTAACAAACAGATAGATATAAACACTACGATTTCTTGTCAAGAATATTATATATAATATCACCAAGAAGCTATTGTCTGCGATACAACGCCAAATTTTGACTCTTAAGGTTTTCGGAATATATTCAATAATGTCATTGAATACATATATATACGTCATATGAGTATTGACGTCATATGACCATTTCTTATAAGATATTAACTACTTTTACGCAATTAATCAAGAAACCATATACTTTTATATTATTTTATAAAATATTTTAAATAATAGAGGTTAATTTTTACGCAAAAGCCTGAAATGATCAATTTCTTTTTATTTTCTTCTGACAGCCCAATGTACCGTATACCTACACTCTGTTTTTTATTCATATTCATATGGTGAACATCATTTGTATTCCGTTTCATTAAAGGATATATTCTAGCTATGAGATTGTTTTCGGCCAATAACTAGTTTTTCCTGCTAATATTTGGGATTTCGCATGATGAGTTGTAAATACAATATTTTGGATCTCTTGAACTGTTAGATCTTTTGAACTTTTAGTGTGGTGTCATTTCCGTATCGTACGTTGTTAATAAAAACACCATTCAAATAATGTTGGTAATCGAATCTGAAAAGATTTTCTTGCAGTATATTTTGAATAACCCTCAACTATAGAAAGAAATGTTACGAAGCGTCTGACGTTAGATTCTTAACAGCATAAATATTATATGTAAATATGTTAGCTCTAATACCATGAAGTTGGTAAACAGTTTTAATGGAGGCGTCTTTGCTATGCCATAATAATATTTTGAAAATAATACAATTTCGAAATTGAAGTGAATTGATAATTTTATTTCTTATCTTTGTTGTGAGTGATTATTAATACTATTTCAACAAATTTCAAAAAATTTGATTAAATTTATGTATGTATATATTTATTCATGCACTACGTCTAAAAGTGCCTAAATATCTATCACAAATGCCACAGTAATGATTTGTGCTCATGCAACTTCCAATACAATACGGTAAACAAACGCAGCAATACAATCTGAAAAATGTATTACATTAAGACTGAAAAGTTTTCGGAAATTCTCATTTAAAATTCGCGCGCTGTATATTTTTCGATATTTTAAGTTTATGTAGTTTGGCAGCACTGTCCTTAATTACTATGCCAAAAATGAGCTCGATCTGTCAGACAGTTCGTTTACGGCAGCTGTTGAAACCAGTTCACCTCAGTAGTGCGTTGCGAAATGTCTTCGACGGTCGTACGACCGTCCTGGAAGGCTTTGTACCACTCATAAACTTGAGTTTTCGATAAAACTGATTCCCCATAAGCCTTTTGTAGCATTCGCAACGATTCTGCACACGAAATTTCGTTCGAAACACAAAATTTGATGCAAACTCTTTGTTCAATATTTTTTTCCATTGTTTTTTTCGCAACGCCCTACTGAGGTGAACTGGTTTCAACAGCTGCCGTAAACGAACTGTCTGACAGATCGCGCTCATTTTTGGCATAGTAATTAAGGACAGTGCTGCCAAACTACATAAACTTAAAATATCGAAAAATATACAGCGCGCGAATTTTAAATGAGAATTTCCGAAAACTTTTCGGTCTTAATGTATTTATTAGATATATTATATATATATATGTATAATGTAAATAATAATTCAGAATTAAACTCACTGTAATAAACAGAGCAACAAAGCGATTAAATGTGTTTTGGAGTTAGGTTTATGACGTATACGGGTACGTGTAAAATTGTGACAAAACGGACATTGCACATCAACCGGGTGTGGACCATAAGGCAAGGCAGCTGGTTCTAAAGATTAAAAGGTTTTGTGAATATAAAATGTAATGAATATAATATAAATACAGTCTTACGTGTCACAACAACTATTGGGGTAGTGTCGATCGAGGTTGTTGCTGCTGTTGCGGTAGCAGCAGGTGTAGCCGTAAAAGCTGGAGTCGATGTGGCTTGATCGTATGAGGGTGGAGATGGTGGCAGAAGTGTTTGGTGCTGTTCATTTTTCACTATGACAGTTTCCAACGGTGCTGCTGGATAAACTCTTTCTGTGCCAGATTTTTCCATTCCGTATTTTCAAAAGCCTCTTACTTGTTGAGAAATAGATCTTATTTTATTTAATCTAATTTTTCAGTATTTATGTATAAAATTTTGGTAACTGATACGCCTAACTATTGACAATGCACTAAAAGCAAATTTGTTAATACCTTTTTCTTATCATAAATAAAAATATTTTGTTTGTACTTATAATGACTACATTTCTTATCAATGTCGAAATATTAATCTAAAGCTGTAATGAATTTCGAAATTCGAAACTCAGGAGTTGAAGCCCAAATATACAATTTCTTTTCACTTATTTACTTATTTCATATTTCATATTTATACCTATTACAAATGATTCTTAAGTACAATATTAATATACCAGAATGGAAAGAAAATTTGCTGTAGCTGAGACATGCATTCACAAATGTTTTTTAGACTAGAATCACATATTTTGGGCTGCTATGTATAGGACATAAGTAATATATTTATATTGGTTTATTCAAATGAAAAATATCTTCTTATAAACACTTAAATTGAGTTATCAAGTTTCTTAGTTATAACTGATAGGACCAATTGAATTGTTAGTAATATTGTATAATATTTAAGAAATTAACTGCTTTCATGTAAAAATTAATATATATTTGTGGACTAAAAAAGTTGGTTGAAGCAAGTATTAGTAATCGTGAATGCATACAGAAAAGATGACTCGTTTTAAAAATCCGATCAAAAAATACATAAAGGATAGAGCCCTGAAATTATTTACGCAAATTGACAGGCTTACCAACATCGCGTATCTAATTTCAGAATGGTTACAGACTCCTCGAGGAAGTATGCAAATCTGAGGTCTAATGAAGTAATAAACAGTAATCCAGTCAAGGCTTAGAGAGGGGTTATGAATAAATCTCGCAGTTATTAGAGAGTAAAAGTGCTCAAGTGCACTGACTCAACTAGCCTCAACATAATAATTTGTATATATTATGTATATATATATATATATATATATGCCCACTAATTTATAAAAACGTTTGAATAACAAGCAAAGAAATACAATTTGAATAAGTGAATACTTGCTTAATAAACGAGTACGTAAGAAATGTAGAGTGAATTAAATTAAAGTAAGCAAAAGGTAAAATTTATCTGCAATTGTTTTGCAAACATACAAAATAGCGTCAGTATCAAAAGTTGGGTTGGGTAATACTGAATAACTACTAACCTATATGACTACATTATGTTATAAAAAATTTGTTTTTGAGTTTTTTACAATAATTTAATCTTATAATTCAATTCAACAAACAAATGATTACAGACTTCAATTTACCGTCACAGAAATAATTATTTAAAAATAGATAGTATTAAGACATGTCTGCCTTTAGTTGTATAAATTATTAAATAATGTCATTTTTTTTCAGAATAATAATAATATCAAAATAATTAAACTTGAAGAATTTAGTAAGATTATCTTACAATAATCTATAATATAAGTGCTATTAACTTATAAATTATTTAGTATAAACTCAATCAATTGAACTTATATTTAGATCTCATCTATTGGTATCATATGCTCTTCTGAATCATTTCAAATAAGAAACAACTATAATTTATTCAACTTCAAAATCTGGGTAGTTTTAAAACTAAATAATATATAAAGAATTTTATATATCTAGATTAATCGCAATATTTCATTTTTGTTTAGTATTTATTATTTGATAGGTTGGACTATTTGAACTAGTTGCTCAGATTTAGATATGTATACTGTTTGAAAAATTGGAAATATCTAAATACGAGTAATATTTATAAATAATTACGAAAAATTATATATTTTTATTTTAAGACTTTCTGCAGCTGCTCTCCAACTGCTATTTATATCTTAATAAAGTAATCAGTACAATACCATACAAATAGTTTTGGTATATATTTTCTAATTCTGGTATCAAAATATTAAATATGTTTTAGAATAATTTGTGGCATTATCTTTTTAAAAAATAAAATGATTAAAGGTGAAAATACAATATTTTATGGTGCAAATGGCACCTGTCCTCGATCAGGCGGTTGACAAACCTTGATTATCACCAATAAGAATAAATATCTTATAGCATTTTAGATTGGTAAAATTGGATTCAATTTAGATTCACTTTCGATCTATCAAATTTTGTTGAATAATCGAACATTTTTAGAGTAATTTAACATTTTTGCAGTAGTATTAGAACACATTTATATTTGTCATAAATACGTATATTAAATCAAATCATACTTTATTTGTCATATATCATATTATTTATCATATATCACATATGTCATATTATCATATTCGTCACATATATTTATCATATGAAACAGCTGTTAATTTCAGAGTCATTTTGCTACTCTGGTAATATATCTAGAGTATTATAAATTAATATTAAGTGTTAAACATTTTGCTCGAGATTTATCAATCGAAAATGAAAATTGCAGTAAAAGTGAATCTCGATTGAAAAAGTTACTTCAGATTTACCAATTGCAAACGTCATTAATTAATAAAAACATTAACAGTTGATCGTGAAAGGTAAAAAAAAAATTAAAATATAGTAATTATTTTTGTTACAATATTTAAAATATTCAAATTATTCAATTATTTAGAATATATGTGTGTTATGTTATGTTAAGCCTTTTCCGAGTTAGTGCATCTAGGCACTTTTACTTTATGATAGCTGGGGGGATTTTGCAGAGTCCCGCCCATCTCACTGACTAATTTGAGTATTTCTGATAATCTTCGTGATTATTCAATGATTGATCTAAGATCTGCGTACCGCTCCGTACGGTTAGTGATACTCTGAGATTACATAGTGCTAAGTAGGGCAGCCAGTCGGTTTTCGCATATAGCTTCAGACTCTGTCCCTTAACTTTTTTTGACCGGAGCTATTCTAAGGTCTCTTAGTATGTCATGTGTGTATTAAAAAATATAAACTATTTATGTAATGCGATTAAAAAATTTTTGGAATTATTGAGTCCAAATTCTCATGATAAATAAAAATATATTAAAATGAGGTTTTGGTTGTTTTTATTTTCATATAATATTTCTTTTGCAAATAAAATTTATAGTTTCACATTACCAAAAATTATATTAATTAACACATTTATAATATAATAAAGATCAATTAGCAAATATAGCTTTGAACTGATTAAATAGACATTGTTTTTTAAAAGCATATATCATATTCACATTACAATAATATAAAGTAAAATTAAACTTTTATATATTATACATATTTATGGTTTTGTGTTAGTATACAATACTTTTTAGAGATTTTTAAGTTTTTACTAATCATTTATATAAAAGGTTCCTTTACAAAGTCGCGCCATAGGTGCCTAAAAACTTATTGCAATTCCCGCAATAATGGTTGGCATTCATGCAGCTTCCGGCGCAGTAAGGTAAACATACACAGCACCAAAGTCTGAAAAAAATAAATAAATAAGTTTAATTAAAAAATGAATCACTTTTGAATTTTAAATTATAAGAAAACATAACTTTATCACACTCTTCATTTGGTTCTTATCAGCTTCAAAACAAATGTTTACAATATGTTTCTTTCTGTTATCTATTTTATGCATTTGCGTATGAAAGCGATAAACCGATAAGATAGAAAACGAAATTGCAGCGCAAAAATTATTGTTAAAATAATTTTTTAGATATATATATATATATATATATATATTATATATTATGAAGAAATACTAATACTATTAACTTAAGTGTTCTTATTATAATTAATGGATAAAAACAGATGTGCTAATGAGCTGCATGTGATATATTCTATTGAACTAATTTATTCTGAGCAATTCTTTCAAAATATTTTATATAAGTTAATTAAAACTAAATTAATAAATGAACAAATAAAAATTAAAAATAAAAATAAATTTACAAATATTTAAGTCATTATCTTTTGTTTAATATAAATACAATAATATTCATAACAACAATAATTGTATAGAATATATAATACTTGATAATGTCTGGCGGCTAACGTTGTGTTATAGGTACTATTCTTATATAGCTCATATAGCTTTTATCTTTGTCAAACTATAGGAATGAAAATATTTTTTCTTAAATGTCGTTATGTACTCAATTCAATATATGAATAACAAGACGTTTAGAAAGGATTAAAGCCTTCACTATCTTTCATTTAACAGCTCTGCATAAAGTAAAAGTGATTATAAAATACATGTGACAGACATAAATGTTTACCCCACATTAGTTTATATTTGATTAAGCTTTGACGTTAATAAGCTATTTTCTTATGATATACATGATGAATTTAGAAGATTTCGGTTTGAATAAAATTTGAACGTAAATATATTTTTACTCTGATGACCTTTCCTTCTTTTATATATTATGAAAACATACTAAATAAATCTTTATCAAATAGGTTCGGACAATTTTAATGTATGATTAATGAAACATTTAGTTAGTTCTATAGGTGATTTCTTTGTTATATGGATGTATTTTGTGAGACTTAAACCAGATTTATTTGTTAACATATGTTATTATAATGTATGTTAATCAATAAATATTTATTGATAATACATTTGTATTAATATTAAGAATACTGCGAAAGATAACCTTTTAGCTTGGTTTTTTTTTAAATTATTAAACAACATTATGTATTTGTTATTTTTAAATTATGAATTGTTATTCCGAAACTATACAAACACTATATATTTGATATTCCTAAACTATATACGTAATTACTCGCCCTAAGATGTTGAGTCTTCGCTAGCATGGTCAAAATTAGCTGTAAACCAAAAAGAAAACAGCTTGGTCATATAATAGTATGGTAAAAAGGCAAAGTAATCTTAATTACAACTAATAAACCCAACCACAGCGTCTGTGACTAAAGTCTGTGACTAAAAAGGACTAAAATTACATCAACCATATCTTTTACTATATTCAACCATATCTTTCTGGTCCATAGCTCTATGCATGACATCAACCATATCTTTAACCATATTCAACCATATCTTTCTGGTCCATAGGTCTATGCATGACATCAACCATATTTTTAACCATATTCATCCATATCTTTCTAGTCCATAGGTCTATGCATGACATCTTTATGCCAAGCAGTTCAACCCACCCATCCACTTACGCCTATTTTCAATATTATTTGCACAAAATGGATTCCAAAATTTGAAATCGTTGAAATGCAAATAATTTCTATCATTTTTTGAGAAAATAGTTGTCAAATTATGGTATGTTTAACTTTGAAGATTGTATAATTACAATTCGGATTCAAATGTTCAGATGTGAGAATAACATGTCTTAGTAATGTAAGTTAATTATTATTTTTATATTAATTGAACGTATGTATATATAAGTTTCGAAAATTGATTTAATCAGCAAATTTGTCTAAGTCTTAGTAATATTCAAATAAGTTTTTATACATGACGTCTGAGCTATTTATCAGTTTTATCGATTAAATGACATAAAAAGTTTTACAAATTTGCTTAGACATCAAAACGTGGACAAATAAAAAAATAAATATATTCAACATTAATCTATATTGACAGTGAATAATCGTAAACATTATAATAAATTCTTCCAAAATTTAATTTAATAGCAATTTTGTCTTTAATGGTACTTCTAGGTACATATAATCGCAATCAATACGAATAATAAATATTTTAAAATTCTGTACTCCTACTTTGACATATGAATTTAGCAAACTTATTTAGCAATTAAATTATGATAAGTTTTATATGAACTGGCAAGTTTACATACATCAACTTAGTACATAGTTACTATTATTTGCAGAACATGCTTTTAGTTAGAAATGTACTTACCCTAAAACACACAAGAGTGCCGCCATTAGATGCGTTCTAGAACTTGGCTCATATTCAATGCGTGTTAGTTTTTGTATATGACATGCGGGACATGTCAAATAGACTGGTTCTGGTCCTAGTGGTAAAATAGCTTGTTCTGTAATTAAAGTTAATATGGAATCAATAAATTATAATATTGTTTGGTAAATATTTACATATATTGTAATAAAATAATTTGAAGTTCTGAGCAGAGTTTATTGGGTCATTAATGTTTATTAATATTAATAATATATATATTTTATATACCTATATAGTCATTATTATGTTAATATATTTTGTCAACTTAGCTACTTCCATTTATGATTTGTTGTTAGTATAATTCGTAGTTTCTTTTTCGTAATATCAGTGGGTTTATATATTATTTATAAGAATAAACAATACATTTAATAAACTAAACAACATATAAACAAATTAATTTATTAAAATAATAGACAAAACTTTAATTTATATATTAAATTAACTAAATTACCTATTGAGAATGCTTTTATATTTTACTTAGTAACTATGTCAACTCATTCAATATGTACATTGAAATAAAGTCAATTTGCCAGCTAATTACACCACAAATAACGAAGCAATAAAAAACAAGAGGAGAGAAAATAAAAGAATGATTATATTAATTGTTGGTACATGTCGAAACCTACTACGAAGTCGAAAATATTTATTTTGATATTTAATTGAATATTTGTGTTTTAAAAATGAAATGCATGTTTTAACAATGGAATATAAATGAGAACAAATTTTTGGTAAAAAGCATTGAAACATTCTCAAAGTCTAGAACTTTTTCTTCTGTGTAGTGCGTCAAAATATATTACTTAACAAATCAACTATATATTAGCTTTAATAATAAAATTTTATTGCTATATAGTTAAATCTGTTTTAAGATGTTAAATTCAGTGCTTATACCTATATACAGTTTCTAAGAATATTAAATATATCTGACTAATTCTATTCATATGGCGAGTTTTTCTGACTGGGATAAAGAAAAGTTTAATTTATATAGTTCAATAAACTGAATCTAACTGGCAACGAACTCATTGATATCGAGTTGATAAAGTACGCTGATGCCAGAAATTGGGGTTTCGTTATAGAGCTATACGACTGTACTTTGCTAATAAGTAATACTTTATAACGCACAGCAACATGAAATATGTTTAGCAAAGCACATTTCTCATGGTTAAGCCGCGGTCCCGTTTTGATATTTAACACTCCGTTTATCTGCTATGAGATGTTATATATGTAGTACTATGTACAATATCAACTCAAAACTCACTTTTAGCTAATATCTATTAGCTACATTATCAGAGAAGCGCTAATATTTACTATAAAGTCGCAGTTCAAATTTATAACATATTTTAATTTGAGTTAGGATTTTTTCGTACTCGTATCTTAATAATGAGAAAAATAGATAATTTTAAGCAGTAATGCTAACAAATTTCATACTACATTTTTTCAGATAATTTAATTAATTTTTATTACTCTTTCACTTCTCATTATTATTCCACGTTCTAATATTATTTTGCACATTTTTACGAAAATCAGTAAATCCGGTATTTGCTTCTAATTCTTAGTAAAATAAATCTATATAAAATTAATATATTTATATACGTTTTACTTGTACATACATACGTACACGTATGAGAATTCTTCAAGAATTTTAAGCAATTTGAATATTGCAATATGCATATGTATGACATTAGTTGAGCTGATAAAGACTTAAGCAAATACTTGTACTACACCTAAAATATCATTATTTGCTTATTATTATTATTTGCTTATTATTATTATTTGCATTTTTATATAAATTTTTATATTGTTTGAATTATATTTATTGTATATTTTTAAATAAGCTCACTACTGCTGGGATTTGAAAATGGAAATCATAACTTCAATAATTCAATTAATTTTTGTTGTTACTGTGTGATATAAAATTAATAATTGTTAAATTATTATTAAGTATTTTATCAAATTATTTTGGGGGAAATACCTATTCCCCAAATGTACTGAATTGAGTAAAAACTCATTTCTGTTAATTAAAAAACTGATATCCATCAAAATGGAAATATAAATAAATCTAGACTAGTTAAGTACTTATTGCACTTAAAATTTTTAGAGTAATGTTTTTCTTGCTACATATCACTTATCCCAATTCTAAGTGCTTAGTCATTTCCTAAATATAAACCGAAAAAAATTAACACTTTTTGATTAGTAGTTAATCATACTCTGTGTGTCAATCACAATCTGTAATTTGTACGCACTTACGTTGTATAATAACGACGGGTTGCTGCTGGATGATTGGTGGCGCTCCTTGTTGGGTTGTGTACGTATGAGCTGTATGAGTTGCTCCACCCAAGGAACCGTATTGTGGCATTTGATGATTTATACTAGTATAGGTTGTGGTCTGTGTTTGCATGGTTCTTTCTTGTGGAACTGTGTTAAGCGTGTTTACATTTGGTGTCGGTAAAATTTCCACTGGTGGATAACTTATGTCTGTTGATCCCGTGGCCTGTTCATATGATGGCGGTGCTGGTGGCATTTGACCACTACTAGTGGAAGTTTCCATTTGTGTTGGTAATTTTGGATAATTAAAATTGTTATTTGTCGATTTATCCATTTCAGCTTTTTATGATGAAATTCTACGTATACTACAATATACAATATAAAGTTGTGTAAACGAAATACTTCACTGAAATGAAATATGAAATAAAAATTCACGCGCTGTTTGTTTATATTATTATATGTATTTTTTTTCCAATATCAGCTTTGTTGTTAACTCAGTTGTTGTTCTTGTTGATAATACTAGTGTGGGGTTTTTGTTGGTAAATTATTTTAAACGTACCGCTTGAAGCTCGCTCTTTGCTACTTCGTTGATCTTATATTCTTTACTGAATTTTTTATTTCAATTTATTAAATAAAAATGTACGAACCAAAAAGTTATCAGTAATAAAGCTTCAACGTCACTCGTTTTATAGAGCTTAAGTGTTATTATTTTTGGTGTGAGGCAAATTATAAGTATAACATTAATGGAGACAACATGTTGTAGCTGATATTATCGCCATATGCAGCTTTTGAATAGCAACATTATTGCAGTAAACACAATAAACAATGTTTATATACATTTTACTTCATCGAGCAATATTGCTAGATACAAATTTGTGCGCAACAAAATAATTTAATACAGTATGAATCATATAAGATTCAAAAAGGAATTAAATATTTAAATTATTAAATAGGAACTACTTCTGAAAGAATATATCATAAATTTTAAACTATTTGTTCAAATAAAAAACTTTTGAATAACTTAAGTTTAGCAATAGCTGTTTTGCTATTATCAATCACAAGTTTCAGGATATAACTGTATAGTTAATATTTTATTTATGTTAACCTTGCTCTAAGTATATATTTTAAGATAAATGGAAATAAACATAGAGTCACATTTGCGTTATGGCACTTGCAAAAAAGGCCACAACGCAATGCGAATAACTTGAAATGACTATGAAGCGACATTGTTGTTATGGTCATTAACAACCGTATAGCGTGCTATAAATAGCTAGAAAAGACCACAAACCGGAATTATTAATGCACGTGAAAAAACAGACAAATTTTATTGACTGAGCTATCAGAATTATAACAAAACTATGCTATTTATAAAAATCAGTTAGCTTAATTAACCAAAATAGAGAGTTGAGAGCCTGAAGACTCTACAGAATTGTGCCTATGAGTTGTATGTTCACAAATACTGAAGCAACGAACAATTTAGAAGTTATACAGTCTTTGAATTAACTGTTGGACTCCAATTACTTCAAGCAGATATCGCCTTATGAGGCTGAAGACTCCACAGTATTACATCGATGAGCTGTATGTTCACAAAAATACTATATGTTGCTGTATTTACATGACATGATTTTGTTGTCTGCAGTGAAAACCAAGTGTATATTGGTCAGTAAAGGAATATCAATGAATGCTATATCTTCTAAAAGTTTGAAATTGTTGAATTATCGTTGATGTAACTTATTTTCCGGCAATGATGTATCTTATTATGATTTTGGCTACTCTACCAATTACAAGAGCAAGCACTGATATAACATTGGCTGTCATGAAAAAAAAATAAAAACTCTACCAGGAAAGTGAATGAATTGCAACAGTGTGAATATGCTTTTTACTATTTGGTTGACTGGTTCCTAATACCAATACATTCAATATATTACATTAACATACATGCTATTGAAACCGGGTTTATTGAACTTATCTATATGTTTAACGTCACTGATGTTATTCAGAGACTTATGCACCAAATATCATGAAATATGACTGTCTAACATTGTAATATAACTATTCTAAAACAGCTACACAAGTGCTCTCACAAAGGAAAGATGAAAGACAATGAAGGATTCTAAATTTCAATAACTATGCAACAAATATATCACAAGATCCGATATGTGTATGCATATTATATTCCTATTACCGTTATTTTATTAAACACACTATTTGGTAAACAACTTTACTCTGCTTCTATCAGTCCTTTTATTTTTTTAAAGTATAATTATTCAATTCTCTGGATAATATTAGTCGAAAAATATGTATATAAAAAAAATCTATGAACTTTATAGTTTATATTATCTTTGGACTATATTGTCAAGAGCTTCTTGAACTTCTCTTCCGTTGAACTTCCCCGAACACTTCACTGGTATTGCGGTAAGTACTTTTATAGCGGATAAAATATTATTAATTACTTATATTTTAATTGTTTTAAATGCAAAATCATTTGTTGTAGATACAAAGCATTTCATTGGTTTTTCTTTTTTGAATTTTCCGGGCTTTCCCTGTTTTTATACTGTTATTTCCCTATACATTATATATTATTTATTAATTTTTACATATAACACCATAGATCTTATGCCTGCTAAGTATATTTGTTCCGTCCTATGCTCTTACTAAGAGCGGTGTCTTTACCCAAAGCACACCAAGGAAATAATATATATAATATATGTGTATTTGCAAAATATGTTTAATATGCACGTTGATACAAAGTTAAAAAGACTGAAATTGATTTACTTAAAAAATTAAGTACAACAATATGTATTTATATGTGTACATATATATAATGAACTATTGGAGTTTACATTTGTAGATACTTAATTTTAAAAATTTTTGTTTTTTGTTTTGTATTTTTGAGTATTTTGTCTCAAATTATATTTCATTATTTTTGAAAAAATATTTTATTTTATTAATAAGCTAGTATACAGCATAAAAATTAAAATTTTGATATTTTATTGAATTTAACAGTTCTCGTAATTAAAAAAATAAAAAATTTTTTATATTTAAGTTTAAGTGTGTATTTTATTAAAATTTATTATTTACATATACAAACAATTGTAGTCCAGAAATTTTTTCTCGAATTCATAAAATAAAAATAGAAAATTGAAAGAAAATATATTTCGTCTAAAGACGAAATGAGTTTTCCTATAAGAATGAGATCATTTTTGTGAAGTTCGGATTACAAAAAATTTTTACTTCAAATTGCAAAAGCAGTAAACAATTGAAGTTATGAATCCGTAGAGCACAATATAAATTTTTGTTTACTTAAATAGAATAAACTGTAGTCCTTCTGCTGCTTATCTAAATATCTGAACAAAAAAAAGAACTGTATTTATTAAATATCTTGCATATGAAGTTTTAAATACTGAGATCAGCAATTTTACAAAAACCACACATATAAAAATATGTGTAGATACAAAAGTATCTACTTTGTGTACTGCAATTTATGACAAAATTCCTAATGAAGACTTGAAGTTATTTTGCTTAACACACATAAACTAACTTAATTTATAAATAAAGAATTGTTTATGTTTATTTTTTTTAAAGTATGAGTTATATTTCTGACACTATATTGGTGAGCTAAAATTTCAATATAAACAATTGATGTCTGTGGTAACTTGCACTGAAAGCATTATTTATATAATGTCGTACATGAAGTACTTGCAGTCAGAATGATTTATTCCAAGATTTAATACAAAATAATAGTTCTTAAAATCTAATAATTCGATATAGGTTTTCTGAAAAAAAAGTCTCTATAGTTTGAAGCACATAAATTTCTTGTTTTGAGATGAAAACTATATAGTATGGTCGATTTTGACTATTAGATATTTCTGTATTAAAACTTTGTCTTTAATCTGCATAAATTACAGTTAAAATGTACAAAAGATGATTGATAAACAACGAGAAGTAATGAATATACACATTTTATTTAATATAATTGATATATATTTTTCACTTAAAAATTTTTTAGCATTATATTTTAGATATACACATATATATAATTCATTGAAATATTTTAGATAATTTTATTTAATAAAAACCGAAATGGATCATAGTTTATTCAATTAATATAATTTAATTTTGGTATATAAATTTTAGACTATATTTATGATATTAATAATTTTTATTTGTATATATATAAACATATTTATTTTATGGGCTGTAAGTGCCTAAAAATTTTCTACAATTTCCACAGTAATGATTTGTATTCATACAAAATCCTATGCAGTACGGCACACAAACACAACACCAAAACCTGAAAAATAAAGGCAATTATATATACATATGTTTTAAAAATTGTAAATATATATTCATTTGTATAAGTAATAAAATAAAAAATATAAAAAAAAATAAACAAAATATTGTCATGCTTATATATCATAATATAATATAATATTATAATAATATTATTATCATCTAATTAAGTTTGGCTAGTACATTTTAAATGTTACACTGCAAATAACATTTTTTACAAAATTTAATTCATATTAAGTAAGCCCCTTTACTAAAATAAGCAAGTCGAAGAGGCAGCTAACAGCACCAACATAGTGTTAACTTATCTATATATCAGTGAAAATATTAAAAAAAAAATACAAAATAAGTAAGAAACTATAAAGTGATGGTTAGTAGCACTAAATATACTAAATAAATAAGGCGTATATAAAAGCACAAATCATGTTTCAATTTGGTGTGCTTCCGAGCACAACAATATAAATTTTAATAATGATTTTATGATAATAGCTAGGATCGCACTCCAGTGTTCTTATATCGATTCGCTATTTCAGTCACATGTATCAAACGGAACTGTTAACTAAGATTTAGTTCAAGGTTTTGCCATCCATCGTATTGAGTACGCTATACGCCGTTCTGAATGGCTGGTCGAACATATTCACCATAGTGGATATATTAACACAGAAAATTGTTGCATCTGTAGCAGTGGAAATCAACAACTTTGAGACATCATTATGTATATAGAGTGCCACAGACAGGTGGACAGTTGCTCTGGAATTCGACAGAACTCTGGTGGACAGTTGCTCTGGAACACGGTTGCCACTTGAAAATTTTTTTCTGTACCAAAATTGGTTTAAAAAGGTACCATTTCTGTAAAAAAAGGTCCAAAATTTTTTTGAACGTTTTTGTTTTCTCGTTCTGTGTTTTTCATAGTGTTATAAATGAAAAAAATATAAAATAGAGCAAAGTTGCATTTATAAAAAAAATTAATTGGAAATATCCACAATAAAGTTGGGTCGTCAAAAATGGACCAGTTTTTGAATATGAGTACCAAACGAAAAAAAAAAAAAAGAAAAGTACCAATTTTGGTACTAAAGTACCATAAGTGGCAACCGTGCTCTGGAATTCGACAGAACTGTTTTTTTTTCAAATGAGAGAGATGTATTATAAAACGCACACACGGTCACATCATTACCAATTTTTCTGGCGTGACATTGAAAATATGGTTGTAAATGGGTATGAGGCTTGAACAACATGTGGAAATTACGTGGACGTGTAGGTTTACGAAATGCTAATGTAATTTAGATACCAAGATCAAGCGATTTAACTACGAAGGATTTTTTTTTTTGATTTACGCAAAGTAGCGCATTTATGTAGACAATCCTTAATGCCTAAAATACGAATTGCCAGCATTGTGCCAACACGTCATCAGAAAGTATCTTATAAAGATTTAGTATAGTAAGTTCCGCTTGAAGGATATTTGAATGGTTTAAACAATATAATGAAATAAAATTTGATTGTAATTTCAATATCTATTATGTTTTATTTACCTTTACTTTTGGAACCACAAAATGAATATCTCTGTGTAATATAAATTAAGCACTTACCCTAATAAACATAAAGCCAACGCTGTTAGGTGAGTCCTTGAATTTGGCATACTCTCGATTATTGTAAGTTTTTTCACTTGACATGAAGGGCACGTCAATAAAACTGGATCTGGTCCAAGCCGTAAAACAGCGTGATCTGTTAATAAATTCCGTTAAGTATTTGCAATCATAATAGATAGTATTAATAACATTAATTAATGTTATATGTCTTTTACACAAAATAACTAAGATAACTAATAATTATGTGATATTAAAATAGCACAACTTTAAAAAAAATTAAATTATTTAATATATGTTATATATCTTAATTTGTACGTTAGAACAAAAAAAGACTGATTGCTAATTATTTGTTATTTTAATTATTCACACCGATTTCAATTTATTTTTTATTTCAATATATGATATTTTTATCAGAATAAAAATAGACAATCATCTTTTATTGGCGATACAAATCAACATTCATGTTAAGTCCATGACAAACATTGGATTTTAGTTATGATTTTTATTGGAATGATTTTTAAGGGCTAACACTCTTACGTTGTATTATAATAACAGGTTGTTGTTGTTGTGTTGTTTGCGTTCCTTGCGGCACTGTGTACGTAGAGGTTAGGTTATTAATTGTATCATAGCCAAGTATCTGTCCGTGTGCATCTGCAAAAACAGTTGTTTGCATTGGTATTACCATTGGTTGTTGCGGTGCGTTTGGTGCACTTGGTTGTGGTCGGGGTACCATTTCCACCGCAACGTTTCTGTCAGCTGATATACCGTAGACTTGCTCATAAGGAGGTGGCCCGCTTGGCGGTTGTTGGGGATAATTGCCGCGACGACTTGAGTATTTGTCCATATCTTCCGTTGATTTTATATGAAATGAAACAACACCTTTTTAAATTTCTTTAAATGAAACTAAATTATCGAATGCAGTACGTAATCCATCAAATATTTTAGAAATTAAACAATTAATAATTTAGTCTTTTAAAGAATTAAAAATGAAATGAATGCACTCCGTTCATAACTTTTGCCCGTTTTGAGTTTATGAAAACATTTGTTTAATGGAAGCTTTTGCTGACCTTGGTGGTGTATGCATTTTTCCTTTTCGATGTTTGTATCTTGAAAATGCATTGGCATTATGTCCACTTATGCCATTTAGAAGAGAGAAAACTTTTTTATTAATAAGAATGCATCCATTTTGAGCAACATTCTGTGATATAAATTCACAACAGCACAGAGTGCTCTTAAGTTTTAATGATTCAATGTCCTTTTAAGAGAAAAAGCTCTAATTTGCAAATGTTTCAAACTTACTTAAGTTAGAGCAAAGATATATCTTTTTTAAGAGTTCCCATGATGAGCTTATTAATTCACGTAAGAAGTTGCTACACTTTCGCTACTGATTACTCTTATTTTAGCTTAGGTAGGTCTTAATTTTTAAAACACATTTCTAAACTAAATTACATTAAAAGAGTTTATATTTTTTTTTTTTTTTGATTTTAGGGTAATTGTAAAAGGAATAAAGTACACTCAGAAAAATAATTTGGTTGATTTAACCAGTTCTTAACTAAATCTCAGGTCAAAATATTCTTACTCGACGTATCATGTTGGTTCAATCATACCACATGAGCTAAAATTCTTCTCACAAAATGATCAGGTCAATTTAACTAGTATGTGATCAGATATTTTTTTGAGTGTATGAATCAGACTATAAATTGTATTGCAATAAGCTATTTCTTTTTTTTTTATTAGGTGGAAAATATCGAAATCCCTAGTGTGAGACTTTAACCGATTAAAACAATATCTTTGCAAGATCTCAGCCATTTCAGTAATCTAGTAAAAATGAGACTTAGTCGCTAAAATATTGAGTTCATCTAAGTTAGTAAACATGGACGATAATAAAGCGTGAGAACAGGTAAACAAAGGTCGGTTGAGTATGTAACTAGCAATATGAAAGTGTGCCGCAGTTATAAAGAAAGATAATAGAAGCAGCTGAATGTAACTCACTGAAGTGTAATGAATGGTATTGGAGGAGGCTTATCTATAACGAATAACAAGTTATATGCTATGGTGCTACGTTTGACAAAGTCGGAAGGTACGTCTTATAGTCGGATAAGTTACCTCTGTGTAAGTGCCAATGGGTAATCGTCAAAACGAATAATATGAGCTACAGCGAAGAGCTTAAAGTTTGTAAAGTGCTTTTGGTCTTTCTTGCGACAATAACCCGGTTAATGGCTAAACTGACAGCTGAATTACTTGAACTAATCAAGAACTCAAAAAAATTTTTATATAAAAGAAAGGGTACTACTAAAATTTTTTTTAAGTTACCTACAAAGCTATTTCGGATATTGATAAACATATATCATCAGTAACCTTTGGAAATTTTTATTGGTATTTATTGTTGGTACAAAATTCATAAACCGTGTATGATGGACATTAAACTTGAATCCTATTAAATTTCAAGTAAAGACACAGGTACTCACATTTAAACTTTAGTTAAATTGTTTTTATTTCTTCAACAGTAAAATATTATCGTGCTAAATAAATAGATTAAACTATATATTATAGTTTTCAAAGTTTAATAATAATCTTTTAGAAAAGATTTTTGGCAAATTCTTGATATGTCGTTTGTTGTTTTTGTATCCTATAGCAAGATTATTATCGAACTTTACAATTATTCTTAAACAATTAGAAGATAAAATATTCATTCATTTTTATAAATTAAATCTAAGTACAAACTAAATCTAAGTACAAATATTTTTATGTATTACATGAGAAAGACTGGTTCAAACGAAAATGGGTTAAAATATAAAAATAAATCCACAAAACTTTTATTGTTTTCAAAACAGATGTATGGTGGACTCATAAAAAGCATTAAGAAAAAAGTAAAATAAGTAATTCTAATAAATTTTTATAATTATAATTATATAAACAATAAAATCAATAAAAATTTCCATCAAATACAGATGATGGAAATATTTAGCTATATCCGAAACAGCTTTATGGTGACAGAAAAAATAATTAACTTAATTAAAAAAAACTTTTGTAATCCTATTTTTTACTTTACTTACTTTCGATTTAAATAGATTATTTGTAATGAAAAATATAATGAAACGGTTTAAATAAATAATTTTTTGAAATTTTATATTGTAATCTCTCTTGTTATGTATAATATTTACACACAAGTCAAGAGAATCGATCGTTATAGTTTTAAATAAAACTTGATTCTGGAACTTAAGTTCCAGAACTGAGGATACTAGATCTTAAAAGTATGCTTCAGGGAAAAAGTGATTTCTACAATGAAAAATTCCTTGTTAAAACAAACGTCTCTTTTAAGGCCAAAGTACAACTTTCTACAAGAGAGATATCGAGATGTTAAAGTATTGCAAGAATACTCTAACTTCTAGAAAACTATGTTGAGGAATAAAGTCAAATTTTGTAATCAAATATGGTTTTAAAACTAATCTTCAAATAATGAATATGACTTCGTAAAGTCAATATACGTATCTAGAGTGCAGGTGCAGATGCAAATGCATTTGATTTGTGTATCACTATATCCATGTAATAGACTTTGTCTCCTGATTTGCCATCTTGTATTAAAAATTTTATGTATGTATATATTTTGAGATTAATGATGGATTTCAATGTTCATTTCTTAGAAATGTGGCAAATACTAATATTCATATATAGTAGACAATATTTGTAATTATAAAATTAAAAAAATGTTAGCAATATAAAAAGTCTATTGTGGAAAATAAACAAGTTTTTAAAAATACTTATGACATCATCGTCACCGTAGCTCTAAAAGTAATTATAAACAATTCTTGGCTTGAGGGTTGCGATATCATCGATCTCGTGGAAATTCTGCTATCGTCTAATATATATTGTGCTTATCTAAACTTTGCATTAGTAAGAAATTTTTAATGCAAGTATACTACATAGTTATTACTTCTGATGTCAGCAATTTCAACAGTTCAATGGAAATAGAAATCAGATTATGAATAATTGAGTTCTAACATCCTTTTCTTTTATTTAATATAAAATATTAGTTTTAAATATTTAATATATATATAATTAAATCCAGTATGTGCATGGAAATAATACGAATTTATTTCCATATACAAAATACCAACTAAATTGAGTCCTATTTGAAGTACATGTGGATACAGATGATGAGAACTGGATGACATATGATAATGTTGTAGCAAAAACTTTTTGATCATAAGTTAAATTGTACGAACTGTCGAAAACGCGGGCTTTACAATATAATATATAATATAAAAGTGTATAACAAAAGTGTTTGGCAAAAGAATTTAATCGTTTTTCTACCTTTTGCAATTTATGTAGTTGCAGTTAGTAACTGAAGAGGAGTAATCAGAATTGATCAAGGAAAATAGGAACACGATTAGATCCTTATATTTGCAGGCCTATTAAATATATTAAACACTTCCAAGTAGTTTGCATTTATTGATAGCATATGCACCTCATGTGTCAGTGTTCATTTTTAGCTAGGAGAAGATCTAAAATCTTCTGGGTGCTTTTTCTTTCCAACTTAACAGAGCAGACGTCCTGCAAAATTAGGAACTTAGTGAGAACAGTTTATAAAATTATCAGGTTGGTTCATTTTCACCTAATGAAGGAGTCGTGCTTTTCCGCGTTGCTCTTACGCTGACCTCTACGGGCCTCTATTTGATCTTAAGTGGGATTTGAACTCAAAGCCATCATTTCAACCTAACCTAACCTATCCACTGCATAATCTAGATAAAAAATGTAGAATTTTATCTAAAACTCAGAGTACTTTTTGTTCATACTAATATTTTTCAATAATGTTGTTACATGTACAATCACCAAATTCCTGTATTTACGTATAATTTTCTATATAAATTTGTTCGTAGCTTAATAAATTATCTTAGTAAAAATGAAAGTTGTTATTTAAGTATAGTATATTAATTTTATTGAATATATTTTATAATTTAATAGATTCGAACAATAATTGAGTTTTTGATGTGAACATATAAATATATTATTCATGTTTAATATACGTTCATGATATTTTTATTAAATGTTTAAGTTCTTCCTTGATAATGGCCCAGATACTGTTCACAATTAGAGCAATAATGATTAACAGTTTTGCAACGGCTACAGCAATACGGAACGCAAGTGCAACATATCATTCTGGAAATATATAAAACACAACACTTTGTAAGTCCATGTATGTATATAATATATATATATAGTATATATTAATATATATATATATATATATAATATATATAATGTATAATGTTATATAATTATTATATGTTAATAAAAGATATATTATATATATATATATTATATCCATGCATTATATATACATATAAAAAGTGAAAGCTCTTAAACTGACATCTTTATTAAACATTGGTCCCTTTGGGAACTGCTTAAAAGAGTTATCACTGCACATAAATGAAATATTGTTAGCTTATATTTTTTATACCCGAAAATCAATTTCAAGAGATTGTTTATGAGGTTAGTGTTTCCTATTAACTTTTTTAATAAAAATTTGTTGTATTTGTTGTATTAAATATATTCATAATAAAGACCGAAATTTCGGCATTAATGTTTTTTAAAAAACTGAAAAAATTGTCGTTAAAAAAATATTCAATTGAAGATGTATTAGAAAAGGTTTTATAATGACAAATATAATAGAAAATAATATATAAAACAATTTAATAAAAATTTAGAGAATTTGAGAGAATAGCGGGGTTCTCCATAAATAGAATATATATGAACCAGAACAATAAGATGTGCGTGTTAAGACGCCATGTTCTAGTAGTAAATACTATTAAATACACTAAACTGGAACTTAAGCATTTTAAAATATTTTTTTAATTGAATTTATTTGTCTATTAAGTTCTTTAACAAACATGACAAAATATTTATCACTTGTATATGAAATTGAAAAGAAGAAATTAATCAACTCACCCACTTATGCAAAATAATGTTGCAATTACGTGTGTAATCATGTTGGATTTATGTTTAATATAGGTTAAACCAACTTGAGAACAACCTGGGCATCGAGCGATGGTTTGCTCAGGTCCAAATGGTAATACATTTTGATCTGAAAGTAAAGATTAATCATTTTTGTTAAGAAATTTATAATATATCTGCGTGTATTCTGCAAATGTTCATATTAGGCAACTTAAAGGACTACTGAATTTAAAATGAATGTTTCAATTAGTTGCTATTAATGTCACAAATAATTCGAATTGTATTAAATGTAATATAAAAAAAATATTAATAATAATTGCTTATTATTAAATAATAAATGTTTATATATAATTATTAGGTATACAGACTTGACAGAAATTCTGGTTTTACGATTTCTGAATTTTTGTTAAATAAAACTTGAGAACTGAGTTGATTTTCGCCCATATTTATATTTTATGTGTAATTAAAAAATTATATTTAGTTTTATTTTAAGCACTTCTTTTTTTTTAAACTTTATATGAACCGAAAATTTTTTGCATTGAAGTTTGTAATTTTACTTTTAAAGTTGCGAAGTCTTCTACACTTCTACACTTCTAACGCGGTTTTACAACTGAAGATACAATTATTGTGACGTTAACATATAAAGCAAAATTGAGAGTTCACCCTAAATGTTTTTTGCTTCACAAGGAAAGATAATTATCAAAGATAGATTGTAGATATTATGTAGGTGAAGAAAAATTATAATGCAGCTAAAAAATATGCAATAGTTCTATAAATATCCTGCATTGCAAGAATACGAATAATAATTTATAAGTTCTTTTTAATTTTATTTCTTATTCTTGAAATGTTATTAAATATGTAAAATAAATAAAAAATAATATAATAAATAAATTTTATTATTGAATACTTTATTATATATATAAATATTCTAATGTGACGGGTATAATTAAATAAGAATTGCCATAGAAAAAGTAATTGCAGGTGTCGAAAAATTTTATTGATAGATAAATGGAAGCAGTAGTCTTAATATGTTTTCATCAATGCCTAGGTTTGAACAGATTGGAAATTCATGGATGTAACATAATATTAATATAAGCAAAACCATTATTTTAAACGATTTTCTATGGTATTGCGAACTAAGCTTATTTACAAACATGGACTTAACGTTGAGAGAAGGAAGTTGTCAGTTTTTTTTAACAAACTCACAAGTAAACACGTCCATAAATATGTCCTTATCACTGATCTATCACATTTAATCGGCGATATATAAAGGCCTTCTTATTAAGAATTTATTTGGGTACACTTTAAGGGTGGTATAGCCGGATGAAATTTTCCATCTTAAGTAATGGAATGGGCAGCTATGAATGCTGATGGACGATCTCCAAACATTTTCATCGAACCTGATGTCACAGTCAATGCGATTTATTGTTGGGAAATTATTTTGGAAGTTGGTTTAGAGCAGTTGGCACGCTTATATTTCAGTCGTAGACCATGGACGTTCTAAAAAATCTCGGCACCGTCTGATATAGCTCGTGTGAACCAAGAATGATTAAAAATGAAGGTGGCTGCATCGAGCTACAGTGAATGGATTCTGAAATTTTGATTATTTTCACAAATTTTTGTAATATGAAGTAATAAAAAATAATTTCACACAAAAAAGATATGGTCTCTTAAATAGGTAACACTTCAATCGCCTGTACTTCCTGTACTTATTACACAGATTTCGCTCCAAGAATTGTTACTGCTTGTGGATCTTAAATAGTAATATCAGGAAAAATATTTTACTTTAATAAAGAAGTTATTTTCAAAATATTTTATAAAAAATGTTTTTCGAATATGTAAAGAAATTTCAGGAATGATTATATAGCTATGGAGAAAGCCTCTACTGATAAATAAAGCTGTTCATTGCAAAAAAAAAATTTTGTGTTTTAGGTGTTAGTCTTATTACTTACCGAGAAATTTATAAATATAAATTAAAAATAATTTGTGAATTTATTTTATCGTTTAATAAATAATGAATAAAAAATATGTAACAAATAGATTTATTAAATAGATATATAATTTAATTCGTTTTTTATTTAATATTTTAATAGTATTACTATTTTATTGTATAGAAAAATAAATTGTTTTCAAATTTAACAACTGTATATTATTTAAAAAGACTTATATCCATAGGTCTCTTAAATGTAAAATTCCATTTATCAAAGAACTTTAAAGCTGTATAATGAAAAACATGCTTTACTTAGCTATACTCGTATATAGTCATTTTTAAAACATTCTTATATTGAAATTAAACAACATAAATATTTGCATCTTATCTTAAAAATATTGTTAATATGTTTTAAAGGTTTATATATACAGTATAATTCGCTTAGCTGCCTCGATGCTTAGCTACATCGATTATATTTTTTTCTGCATTTATGGCTTCATTTGTATGAAAATAATTATGTTTGCTGCATCCAAGTTAGCTGCCTGTTGCACTTAAGCATCTCGTATCGGCAGAATATAATTGCCATTTTCTATGAATATCGTTTAACTCAGTTGCGCCACCTAGGTAATGAAATTGCAAACAAAAAAAGTAAGGTTTGTTCGCCATTAAGGTACTGAAGCGTCTTTGCATTCAAAATAATTGCGAAGAATTTTGGCCAAACCTTACATCTTTGGAGAATAGATTTTTAAATTTATCTATAAAAGCGGTTGCAGTTTAAACAAAAATAACAACTTCCTTTAAAAAAGAAAGATAGCTGCCTCTAATATCTTTGCAAACGATTCGAGGCGAATTATATGCGAATTATACTGTATATATAATATTTGATTTAAATTTTTAAAATATAAATATAAATTTTTTTTAGGTAGATGACATTAGTTATTATAATTTGCTATATATATTTATATAAATAATAAGCATAAATAGTTTATACTATATTTCGAATAATAATATATTTTGGTGTCTTGAACAATAAATGGAAAAACTAATTAGTTCTCATATATGAAATATTATAGTTATTTTAATCAAGTTTAGTTGGAATATGAGCCCAGGTACGCATTGCATTGAGTGCAGTAATGTAGAGAACTTTTGCAACTGTCCATGCAGTAAGGGATGCAGCAGCAGCAGCAACTGAATTAGAAAAGATAATATAATTAATAAATATGTTTGTGTTTCTATTTTTCTAGAAGTGTATATACTTATACTTACGTCAGTAGACACAATATTCCAGCAATTAAGTGAGTTCTAGAATTGCTTTCATGTACAATTCTGGTCATATTTCTACTTTGACATGATGGGCAAAAAGTTATCATCTCTTTTGGACCAAGTTGTAATATAGTTGGTGCAGCTAATTAAAAAAACCAATAAAAGTAATATAATAATTAATTCTTTAATGCAAATAAAGAGTAAATGCAGTAATTTCAGAACATTTTTTAAGAAATGATGAATGGAATATAGATCTGGTACACATATAACATAATATAATTATAAAAGTACTTATTTCATTTAGGATTGGCAAATCTAGCGTAACTTCTTTACCCTAGTTTTTTACTTTTAATACCATTTTTATTTTCGATTGTTTAATATTTCGTAAATTATATATCACTCGAGACTAATTTGTACCACTCTAGATTTTTTTATAACACCCAAGATTAATTTAAAACACTACATTTTTTGCCAGATTAGTAAGATTATACTGAAATTAACAACTGCTTTATGATCTTGACAACAATATGTAGAGATTACCATAAACATGTTCGATTGGGGCACATTATTCGGACAAAAAACTACAGATCGAGAGCAAATTCAGATTTGCCACTTAGAAATGACACTAGTAATACAGTATGCTATATTATAATAATATACCATATATACGCATGATTGTCTTCAAAATTTTTGGGAGCAAGATATGAATTATATTACGATTTCTAATATATGTAGGATAAATATAAAATTATATTATATGAAGCACTATTATTTATTTCCTGTTTAAATAATAATAATAATTATTTATTCTAAAAAAATGCTTCAAATTAAATTCAGTAACAATATTATCTGAATAAAAAATGTAAATTCGTGTAAATTGTTTTCTATAAATTATTTTTTATTTAATTAGTTTAATTAAATACCTCACGAAATAATGCATACAACTATTTTATTATATGATTATATATATTTATACTTTATATTATATCATCAAAGAGGTACTTCAGTCGCAGTGCTATGCTCCTCTGAGAGCCATATTTCCATTTCAATGTTCTATTTTAACATAAACACACATATATATTATATATAGAAATATTTAATATTTTAAACTGTTCTAATTTTTATTTATTTTTTTAAAATATTTTTTTATTTGAAAAAAAAAATGATAACAATGAAATCATTGGCTTAGACGCCAATGGATAAAAATACAAAAAAAGAAAACAAAAAAAAAACACGTGCAAAAGTGCCGAAAAACAAAAAGAAAATAAATTATTTAATTTAAACTTTGTCTTTTCAACTGTTTTTTGTTTAGAGGAGGGCAACTGCTCTCCTCTAATTTGTGCTCTTCTTACTTGTTGGGTGTTTTACTCTATTCTAAACTTTAATTTATTTTGCCCTGATCAGCTGTGTTCAAACATTTTTTTATGTATTCAAAAACTGATGTCAATATGTGCGTGTCGGAATGGGGAATGTGTCTATTTTGGTCAAAATAATCTAGTCAAAATAATCTAAATAGAAAATAAATCACTTCAATATATTTATAATATTTATAATATTTATATTATTTATATTATTATTAATTGAACTATTATATTTTTTTTGTAAAATATAATATCGAAATAAATATTTATGTATTATATTATATATTATATTTGTATAGTGTTTATAATTATAAGTGACTTTAATTATTATTATATTATTTAGTTTATTATCTATTTGTTTATATTATTATTAGTTTAACTATTATATTTTTTTTTTTATGAAATATAATATCGAAATAAGTATTTTGTATATTAAAATAAATATTTGAATAAATTTTAACATTTATTTTATTATCGATTGTTAATATTTATGTATCTAAATGATAAAAAATAACACTTACCTTGCATGTAGTAAACTGGTTGAGGTGCTCCAACATTTGGAACAGGTCCAACATTTGGAGCGGGTCCAACATTTGGAATAGGCCCAGCATTTGTATTCGCAATCATTGGTGTATAACCCATCACTCCAGGTGGTGGAGCTGTTGGCTGTAATGTTTCTGCACCGGGTAAATTTTGCGTATATGGATACATTTTTTCCATTTCTTGTTTTGTTGACATTTTTATATAAAAAATATATTTAAAGGGATTATAACTTTTTATACACGATATATTTAAAAATAATTGTTAAAGCCAGTAACAAATTTAATCGCCACGCAACCAATTCTATACAGAAGCCGACAGTGAACTGTTGGTAATTTTCAGATTTCACTTAACTCAGTTCTGATTTGAGCTTTTTTACTGTCATGCTTAGTAAAAAATGTTTTGTTGCAAGACATAAAAACAGCTTTTACACATTTGAGTCTAAACATATAAGCGCTTAACAATATGTTGCCAAATTAATTATTTTTTAATTCTATTTAAATTTAGGGTAGGGATATTCGTTTTTACGAATCATACTTTGCAACGAATGCATTCATAAATGAGATGTAATCATACCCATGTACTAGAATTACCCGACAAGTATACTGCAGTTACTATACAGATACAAAGTACGTGTTATTTTGATGATTAATGTACTTTACCGCTGTTTATTGAAGGAATTTACGTTACCTAAAGTGTTTCGAAATTTGCTAAATGCATTTCTTCTCACATTCTTCATCATAGAGATGCGAAAAAAAAACGAAGATCTATTTCCATTGCAATAAGATGAAATAGTTCCTTATGCAATATTGTATTTTGTGTACATTTAGACTTATGAAACCCCATTAGTATATTTTTATCATACGTATTGCTGTATATTTGTCAAGTTAAGCATAAAATAGGAGAAGATTTCATGTTCAAAGTACTTGAAATACCACGAATGTACGAGTATAATATACTAAACAATGTTAGCTAATACGACAAGAAATAAGTTTATATATAATACAACCACAGACAAATTCAAATAAAATAATGTAAGTTATCTGCCAACCATTTTGGATTTCATGAACTAAGGATGCTTAAAGCAAATAGTTTCTATCTTTGCTTCCTCCATTAGATATATGCTTTCCAAGGTAACAGTCTTTATATCTCCTTGACAGACTTCCCTATCTGTCAAGGATTTCATCTACGTTGGTACCACCGTAACCATTAACAATGTTTTGGAGGGATACAGAGCTCTTTTCTGACAGACAAAACTTAATTCACTTGATACAGTAACCTGATGAAGGACAGCCGACAGTAGAGGTTGGTAACGGGTTGTTATATATAAGTAATGTGAACAGAAAATTCATATTGTGAAGAAAAAAAAGAATTAAAATATCAAATGCGCCCATTTAATCTTTAGTGTTCACTTATATAGTTTTTCTTTAAATAGATCAGCTATTGATCCACGATTTATATTGGTCGCTTCAAAGCAATGGATGCATTCAAATTTTTTTTTGGAATGTTAGGTAGCTTTAAAGAAGACTTTTTAAAACTATTTATGAAATGCTTTGTAGCTAAACACATAAAACTTTTTACATCTAAAATATTGATATGTTAGCAACATAAATTATATAAATTATATATTATATATTTATATACTACCAATTTAAACGTAAGAGCTTAAGAAAAATGTGTAGCCTTATACATATGACTAATAGAAGACTTATTTCGAATGTACTAAAAACTCAGAATGTCTATTTTACTAGAGAGTTCATTTGAGAAAGTATGGGATGCTCAAGAAAACATGACTTGATTGAGTATTAGCTAATTTAATAGTGGAATTACATGATAAAAATGCGGATACAACAAATAGAGAGCTGTAGTTAAAGAATCAGAGATTCATCACGGATTGTCGTACTAAGAAAAAATAATCAAAAATTGTAATCTGAAATATATCCCAAAATAATGTGATGCATTTAAGTATGTTCTTCGAACATTTGGATAATGACAACAAATTTCTAAAAAAATTTTGAATAAAAACCAAATTATCAACAAATTTTGTAATACAAGAGTTAGTTCATCTACCTGTTCTGATTGTCAAACTCAGCGCATATTTGTTTTAACTTTTCTAGTGTTTTATTTTTTTTTAAATTTTCTGAATTTTCTTTTTGTATTTTAATAAGTAATTAGTATTTTGGAAAGCACATGGTGCGATATTTTCATAAACATACTTCCCACCACCAGATGATATTTGAAATACAATCAATCTACATATATACCATTAGAACATATATGTATGAAATGCTTACTTAGATTCTTGGAATTGTTTTGAATTGAGGCAATTTTGTTTTTTTTTATTTCATTTTTATTTCAATTGAGCACTTAGGAATAGTTCAGTATGAAAAGCCACTTTGAAATATAAGCAACGAAAGATGATTAATTTTTAGATATTTTACTGAGACGAGGGCAATCTTAATAGAATTGGAAAGTGCAAGCCATTTTGTCCGAACCATGTATATGTATATGTAAGCATGAGTTAAAAAAACGAAAAAAATTAATTACTTTCATCAATTTTATTTAATTTATTCTGTTATTATTGATTAATTTATTTTATTTTATTAATGACTTTAAGCCTTATATTATTGAATCAACTTCTATAAAATATTAACTTAATTTTTTACTGGTTTTTTATTTTATTTTTACTTTGTCATAGTATTTTGGGTCCATATATTGTACATTCTCGCCTCATTCAGATGTTAGAATATAACAGTTAAATGGCGACCTAAAGTTGTTGTCTGTCAGAACTTTTCCACTTTTTAAGTTAATAAGTAATTATTAATTCTGTATTTTATAATATAGTACATTCTATAAAATTTATGTTTTAAAGGAAACTATGAGTTTCAATTAAATACTGTTGTAAGGAATATGAATACGCGGGCCGCACAAATATTAATCGCGGGCGGCACAAATATTAATCGCGGGCCGCACAAATATTAATCGCGGGCCGCACAAATATTAATCGCGGGCCGCACAAATATTAATCGCGGGCCGCACAAATATTAATCGCGGGCCGCACAAATATTAATCGCGGGCCGCACAAATATTAGTCGCGGGCTTTGCTGGTTAACTCTTTACACATAATATAGAAAGAAGCTTCGCTGTGGGCAATATCCATAAGTTATGTTTTATTTTTCTATGTATGTACATGAATTGTCTTTTTTATTATCACAATAGTATCAACTAGTTTGTATGACAATAAATATACCAAGAAATACATATACTCGTATATATCAAGGTTCTAATATAATATATCTAGATATAAGTTATTAAAATTAAAGTGGTGCCAGATTAGTCTTTTTAAATAAATAATTATTTAATTTTTATTATATTTTAACTAACTTTCATCGGCAACTATATATACTTATAATCAATTCCAAACCAATAGGTGACATAAATAAGTGTAGATTTCATATAAAGTGTTTATTTTTTTCTTTACAAAAATATTTGAGACCATCTCAGCTTCTCCTGAGATATGTATATTCTCTTCATGTTTTGAAAATATTTCGTTTATTTTTTTGAAATATTTCTTGTTTGAAATTTAGCGATAATATGCACGATTTCGCAAAAGTGGCCTTGAATCCACAGAATTAAGGAATAGGAACACATGTGAAATTGCGAACATCGTCCAAAATTTGAATTTTTAGTTTGCGTCTGTGGGATTTGCGAATTTCGCGTCTGTGTCTCACTTGGGTGATTTTGTATAAAAAACATGTACGACTACATAGATACATATTTTTTTTTCAGTTTTGTGATTAGGTTTATCTGCTATTTATTCTTGCAGTTTCGGGTTCTAAGTTGTTTGAAATGACGTTACTGTACGTTAGTGTATCTGCACCAAAACCAAAACAAAATAATTAAAAAAATCGAATAAAATAAATTAATCTGAACACAAAAAAATGAAAAATATTTTTTATACTTAACTTTTAGAATTTTAGAATTTTTTTATGAATTTTATGAATAAATATCTTTCGTGACCGTTTCTCTTTTTGGGACTTGATCCGTCGAAATTCAAAATTTTAATTTCAATTAATGTATCTAAATGTACATATATTTGTTTGGTGGTAATTTAGCAAAAATTATGAAATAATGTTATCAATTACTTATGTATGTGAATTATATATAGGAAACGGGCAAAAAGTATATCTTTTAAATAAGTGGTATACTCAATTTAAGAATTGAGTATACCATTAATTAATTATTAATTAATTTAAAATATTTCATATATTTATATACGTGAAGTGTTTTTAATGATGGTATTTCTACACATAGTGCGTAATTAAGTTTTCCAAAATGTAATAGTAGTAAAGAAATTTCCGTTCACTAACTATAGTATACGATTTATTATATAACTATCTTTCGCTTAATGAAACAGATAAAAATCCAACTAGAACACAATATTATGCCCATACCTACAAATTAATTCCAACTTAAGTCTTTACCAAAGCAAGAAAGAGTGCAACCATTTAAAATAGGTTAAAATAAGTCACACATTTTATATTTTAAATATCCAAACAATAAATAAATTTAACAACAATGAAAAACAATAAACGGTAACCATTACTTCTAATTCTACTACCATTTCTAATATTACTAACCTTAATATTATTTTACTATTATTATTCTTATTTTTATTATAATAATAAATAAATAATGAAAAATTTATTTATTATTATTTTTTATAAGTAGACCATTAAGGTCCATTGCGTTACCAGATCAGGCTCCTTTTTTAGCGATAGTGTGCATCACTAAGGATGCGCGTATTATTCGCGAATTGTATTAAGACTTCAACCGCAATCTTAGGCATGTGCTCCAATCATGTTAAACTGTCAGATCCCAAGTATATTTGTTGAGTTTTCAAGAGAGCCGGGTTAAATAATAATTATATTTTTAATAGGACTTACTTATTTTATTTATTAGTTACCGCCTTACAGAGAAACTTGAAGTAGTGATGTTTATTAGTTCATAATACTTTTATCCATACTGTAGATTTAAAATACCTCCATTTTCAGTTTCTCTTTCCTATTTTCAATTATGAAACTGTATGTGAAAAGAATATTATAATGCTATTAGACGGAAAAGTGTTTTGATGCTCTTTCGAGTACACATATATGTAACGCTTCATTTTGGATAACGAGTCATATGTGGGTGTAGAAATATAATAAAATGAAACTATTAGTCCTCTGATAAAACTACACTTAAGCCAATAAAAAATTATTGCAATACTTTAGTAAAATATTTTTATTGTTGTACTGTGTTACATTATTATTAAGTTATAATTTATTTTTTATTTCTAATAAATAATCGTACACTTAAATAAAAAATTTTAATACTTTCATAATTTTTAATATTTGCTAAATTATGATTTTTGATGCCTTTTAGTGTACCGATATTAGGCTGAAAAGTTTCCAATGAATTGATTACAATTGCTACAGTAATGATCCAAGGTTTTACAGGTGTTTAAAGCGTACGGAATGCATGAAAAACAGCAACAACTGCAATGAAACAGACTCTTAAATCCTTCTTTAGATATGTATAAGTTGAGTACTAATGTACCCAATAACTAGACAAATTACAGCAAAGAAATGAGCCCATATTGTTGTACGATAATCCAGATAAGTCGTTGTTTCTTGGTTGCAATGAGGGCAGATTACTTTTTGTGGCGTATGTCCCAAAGGTGCTTGAACTGTTTAAAATTTTCTAATTATTTTACTTTTCTAATATTCAATATTAACATGTTTTGTGAAATTTTTAATTATAACATTGTATTTAAAACTTATATACCGGTCACTTCCATTTTCATAAAATTTCACGATGTACTTGATATGACAGCTTACTTTTATTTGGACTACTGGTTGTTTTCTTATATGCTCGCACTAAAAGTCCTTTTGTTACATATAGAACATATCTATCTTTTTTTTAGCTAATAAATCATTAGAATCAGAAATAAATGTTCATTACGTCTAATACTTTTATTTTCGTAATAGCCAAAAACCATTAAATAAATTATAAAACAAATTATAATATTGTTGTTAATTGCTATTAATATAAATATCACCGTTATGACTATAAAAATTGCATACTAAACTGAGCTTCTTTTAATATTCAAATTGAAACAATAGAAAAAACAGTTATAATGAATAAAATTATATTAAACTAGTGGCACATCACACCGGTTTACCATGTTGTTGTAGTCGTAATACCTATTCACACTTGCTCGGTAGATATCCGGTTTGTAATTGATTTCTTATTGATTGAGCTATGATACGTAAATAAAAGTATTTCTACTAACATATCAACAGAAATTTATATATAATAATTTTTAAGTTAATTAAAGAAATACGTAATAAGAAATTAGTAATTATACTAATTCGTAGGCCCTTATTTCCTTGAAATTTATGCCAAATTCGATTTCCGTAGAAATGGCAAATAGTGCAGTCTTTGTCCAACAGCTAAAGTTGATTCCAGAGAAAATCGACGAGAGCGGTCCGGTTTAGTGCCGATATTAGTTAGTGCAAGAAAGACCGTCTTTAATCAACTGCAAAAATATTAGTCTGTTTTGTTTCTGTGGTTTCGAAAATAGATAAACTATAATAAAATTTTATTTTTAATTCAAATATATATTATTATAGTATTAAATAAGTTTGAACCCACTTATGATTTTTTAGACATCAACGTTCCTATAAATGAAATATTGTGCACATTTGGGTTTTACACAAAACGTTGCACATTAAGCAGATTGCTTACCTATATTAAATGTTCTAGAAATTCCATGTTCTAGAAATTCCAGGAACTAAATCTCAGGTCAAAATATTCTTACTCGACGCATCATGTTGGTTTAACCATACCACATGTTGGTTTTCATGTCCGATCAATTTAACTAGTATGTGGTTAGAGCATATTTTTCTGAGTGTTAGCTAAAATCTTATTTAAATCTATGATCTTGAATATCTAAAGTTTATTAAAATTTCGTCCGTTGGAGACAAAGTAACCCAACTAACGAAAGTACTAACTATTTGTCTTTACGACTATCGGGAATATGTTAATATTTTAAAGAAAATAAGAAAAAAATTTTTTATAACATTTATTAGAGATAAATATAAGAATTACAGTTATACATATGTATATATTTATGTATTCATAAAAACAACAATTTATTAGAATATCTTTATTAAAAACGTTTAAAATTGCTTTTGATATTATTTCTTTTGCATCTTAGAAAATCTATAATTGTTTGATTCAAAAAATAAAAATTAAATTGACAATACATTTACTTTGATTATATTCAAAATAATGCTTATATATTATATAAAATTTTTTTTAAAAAAAACTATTTCCATTTATGACGTAGTATGTATCAAATTAAATATTGAATTTTTACTAAATAATGTGTAATACGTATAAAAAAGTGTTTCATTTCTACTGACTGCACTTCTGCATGTAGCCATGAAATATTTTCGATTAAAATCATATATAAAATATATATTATAATGTACATATATCAATAAAACACTATATATTTAAGTATTTATTTTAAGCAGCTTTGTAAGAATGTTGCAATTAAATTAACAGCATTTGTAGCAGTGTAATTTCCTCATTTCGTTCATTTAAATTCTTAATTGTTTTTCAAAATTTGTTTCAATTGTAAAAAATGCACATTTGAACTTTAGTGTCAATGCCGCTGTTTTAGTGCTAAATTAGTAAATGATCAACGTTCGTAGACTCCCAGGAACGCATTGCACGAAGGGCAGTGATGCTCAGCGTTGCGAGCACATTTAGTACAGTAAAGACAGCATGCACATGGCCAACATCTGAAGATAAATAAAAAATATTTTATTTGAAATATTTCTTTTTAAAAAAAGAAAATACTATGCACATATGTTAATACAATGAATAAGTATATCACTTTATTTTAATGATTAATAATAGAAATTTGAATTCTTTTATTTTGTAATTTATAAAACGTTTACACTATCTCAATTAACGAATTACGCATTTAACTCGCTAATTGTGTAGTAATTAGTGCTATTGTGTATTAATTCTCATTGCACTAAAAACTGAAATGATGTAAATCAATAAGTTGGATATAAATTTATGTTGTATATACATATATTAGTTTTTAATTATTCAAAATTATTTAGTTTTATTAAATTTAAGTCTTGGCTCTAAGCTTCATGATACTACAAGTAAAAAAAAAATATTTGGTATATTTTCTATTCGGTTGTTCGTTGTTTACTTACCGCAGTACAAATTCTTAATAGTAATTATGCAATTATAATCAAACGGAATTCGCTAATTGTGAAGTATAAACACTATAAGTGTAAATTTATTCTTAATTGCACTTCTCATTTGTATGAAATTGTTTGATTGTTTTTATAAATTTTATTAATATATGGGTTAAAAAACTACTATAAATATACAATTGTTTATATTACGGTATACAGTTCATTTTAGGCATTCCAATAATTACGCATGATATATATGGAATTTTAAATTATGTACATAATTAAGTTATGAATTCTACTTACACAAACAGACACAAAATTAGCGCAATTATGTGCGTTTTGGTTGAAGCTTTGTGTGAAACTTTTGTGGTTACTTGTTGTCTGCAGCTTGGGCAAACGACATTGCATGGTTCAGGTCCTACTGGAGTAGACATACTTAAATGCTTTTTGATTGTCTAAAAATAAAATAATAAAGAAATTGTTATTAAACTTCAATTTAATTAATATTATTCACTAAAATAATTTATTTATTATTATTTATAAGTGCTTTAAAAAGGCAGTAGTCATATTGCTTCAAAGATAATAATTTAATAAATATTTTTAAAAAAAAAACATTTACTCCTAATATGAACAAAACTTTTTCAAAAAAATGAATTTTAAACCATTATTACTTTTAGACTTATTCATATAAGGAAACTTATTATAGATAAGTATAAATTTAAGAAATAATTAATAAATTAAAAATAATTTAAACGATTATCGTTTTTGAGATATTAAAAGTTTTTGTCTAAAGGTCATCTTCGAATGACCTGCTCTTTGATATCCTGTATCTCAGTTGATATTTCAAAATGTGCCTAGCAATATTGTTTATACATTTTTTATCTCGCAGTATCTTTGCAGTTATTTCTATGTGTTTTAATAATAAAATGACAAACATTCTATTCTCTGAAATTTTTATTAATATTATAAATCATTTCAAAATATCAAAGTAGTTAAATCTTTGCAAGTGAGCAATGTACTCATATGTTAATAAATCTTTTCAGATGTGGCTACCAAGTATAACTATAATAATGTTCATAATAATAGTAATAGATAATAATAGTTCATATGTAAATAAAATATCTATCATTTATCATTTCACTAGAATGTCAATTATAAAATTTTGCAATTGTAGTTTTGTTTTCTTGCTAAATTAAAAACGTAGTCATGTTAATTAAAAATAAATTCCCCACCTTTATACAATGTAAGTATCGTTGTAATATGATAATAGATTATCATATTAGATACTATTTTTCAATATATAATACTATGTGTATATTGGAATTTTTTTAAATTCTTGATACAATCATGAAAGGCATCATATACGTAGGTGTATACCTAATAATATATAAAGAATAAAAAGCAAAGCATATTTTCATTTTTGATATAAAAAGTACAAATTATATATTAATTAGTATCTTCTGTTAAGTGCAACAATAATATTATAGATCTCTCTATCATATTTGTAAAACATTTTAATTATTACTGTATATTCAGTATTTTTTAAAAATTACTATTATTAATATTACAACAGAAATATTTTTTTTTAATGATTCAAACAAATATTTTGATATTAAAAAGAGATTAAAAAATAATTAACATACAAGTACTTGGATGCACGTTCTTTAGAGAATATATATAATTAAAATTTGTTTATTTGAATCTATTGTTTATTGTAGATTTTTCAGTATTTTTCTAATTAAAAAAGTAAAAAAAAATAAAAAATATAGTTTTATGTAAAGCCCAAAAACAAATAGAAATATTAGGGTGTAAGTATTTATTAACTAAGAAAATTTTCAATTAATTGTAAATTGGTTGTAATACGAGTGTATGATGTATTAAAGTTATTAAAAATATAAGACCTATAAAACACAGAACAATGTTAGGTTCTTCCTCCTTAAATTTACTAATTGTTTTAATTTTAATTAAACTTTAACTCTGATCTGCTTATATTATTAGTTTATTTATAATACGAACTTCAAAAATTGCATAATAAAATATAAAACATCATTATATAAAAATAGTCAAAAACTGAAGTAGGAATTAAACGCCGCTGCATAAACACTTTTAATAGCATAAAGTGCAAGCTAACTGCACTAAAAACAGATAATACAAGTTTGAAAAAAATGCCACTTCTATTTAAAAATTATTATAAATCAGAATATATATATATATTCACATTTTTCCATTTTCGTAAAAATTCACGAGGTTGTTGGCTGTGAACGGCTATCAAACACCAACTGAACGACGTAGCTTGCTCAAAATTAGAAAGTTGCCCACTGGTAGATTACAGCTGACAGCAGCACTGTTGCATTTGGAGTAAGTACGCGGGAAATTCAAAAAGTCAGTGACTTATGAAACCGCCCTCGTATAATGTAAATGTGTAAGGAAAATATATTTTTTACATGAGAAAACAGTTTGATCTTAGATAAGTAAAATTACAGTTTTGGTTACAGAGCGTGCATTATTCGCTGCACAATATATTGTGACTACCAATAAAATTACATATTTTAAAGTTATTTTTACTGTATATGATTTATATATATTAATTTGTGCCAAGATATATTGACATTTTAGTGTATGACATTCAAACAGATTTGTAAATAAACATATATGACATTGAAATGTTGAGCAATTATTCTCTTTATATATAAATTTCTCTTTGTTAGCAGAGCAATTATTATTTGCAATTATAGTTAAGTGTGGTCACGCGCTTAACTGGCGTCCAGTAATTCATAACTTTTTATTAAATCCTGAAATACATATTGTATTTCAATACATAAAATACTTTTGATTCGGAGAACATTTGACGTTCTTTTACAAATGCCACCGGACATGACAGACCTCTTTGAAAAGCATACATTAATAGAATACATAATATATACTTGACTTGGTAAGTACTTCAGTACTTCAGTACTTCTTCACTGAAGTAAGTAGTGCCCCGGGGCATAATACAATCCTATGCTCCTTTTTATCTATGCCACTAGCTTGCCATGTGGGGCAAAAATTTGAAATATTTTTAATATTTATATATAGACACCACTTTTGCTGTCATGCACTTAAATTCACATTAATAATATTTTCTTTTTAAAATAAATATTGTGAAAAATTATCAAATTAGTTTTTGAATGTCACAACTGTCTTTTAAAATAAACACCAATATTAGCAACACATGGAAAAAAAAAAAATATTGATTTTTTTATTAAAAGTAAAGGTCAGATTTTCCGGCAGGAAATGAAAACCTTTGGGATTGAATGTATTTAAGAATAATGTTTACTAACTTCGATTATATATATGAAAATGTATTTCAAAAACAAAAAAAAAATTTAATATACATATAAAATAAATAAAATAATTGTTATACTTTTTAAATTTAATTTCAATAAAAATCATTAAATTTTTAATTTATTAAGAACTCTAAACATTGTCCATTGGATTCTTCTGTCCTGTCATAATAATTACCATTTATTTTTTTATTTAAAATTTAATATTTTAAAGATGATTTTATTTCACAAATTTCTTTCTTGAATTTTTTTGAAATTGTTTATTTATTTGTATTTTTGCCATAGTTTCATGAACTTCTGTGTTCAAAAATAAATTCTATATTATTTAAAATATTTTAAATAGTAACTCATCTTTTGTATTTCTTTATATTGTGATTTTATGTTAAAATTTTTATTTTAGTTTTTTTTCTGTTTTATTTATTTTTACTCGAATTTATATTTAAATTACATTGGTTTATTTTCATACTAAATTATTATTTTTGCGTATATTATTAAAATTCTAAAAAAATAAATTTTTAAAATAAATAATAATGGGAGAAAATAAATTAAAATCAAAATTATAGTTATATTACAAAATACGAATACTACGGATATATTCAAATAATTAATATAATTTTTAATAATTATTTGGTCTAAATTTGTAGTAATATATTTCAACAGATCAGTGAATTACAGGTGTTTATAATCGCGTAATTTTTTTATTCCTTTAAAATTTAAGTCATAATTGTAACCTGAAATAAAAAATTTATTTCGTATATTTTCTATTGACATACCGCGTTTACCTATTATATATTTACTTTTTAAAGATTTCATAGTCTTAGTATAAATCCTTATTAAAGTCTAAAAATAAATAGGACCTACAAGAGATGAAAGTTTAGTATCCATTGGAATTATAAATTGGATCAGTCAGCATAAGTGGATCTCAATTTCACAGAGTTGTGGCTTTGACTGAACCTAGAATTTGAATGAAGGGTGAACTTAGATTTTCAGTGGATCACTGTGACAAAAATAGATTTATTGTACTACATCAACTTACAATACAGTCTATGAGCCAATATCAGCTTCTGTTCGCTCATTTTATTGCTGACCATGCCGAACCACGAAATCTCACCACAAATGAAATTACATGTTTATAATGCTTGCATGAACTCTATACTATTGTACGGATCTGAACCCTGGAAACCTGGAAACTACAGTTCTACACCATATGTCCGAATTAAATATTGATTTGGAAATTAACAATTTTTTTATTGAGACTGAGTTTGGAGTAGCGATTTAGTAGTCAGTAAAGGTACAAGTAGAAGAATTATAAAGAAAGAGACTTGAGCTTTAATTCCCATATATGCAGAGACGACATTTTCGAAGAATATACAAACCCATCTCTTTGAGATGATAGTGCAGGCTGAAATATCTCTTCATGCAACTGCCAGTTAGCTCTGCTGTGTCGTACTTAGGAGGTTTGTCTCTTTGCAGCTTAAAGGAAAACATAGGTTTATGGTTCCAATAGTGCCAGTAAGCTCAGCTCTATCGTACTTAAGAGGTTGAGTTGAATGAGATTTGAGGTTTAATTCTTATTTATGCAAAGACGACAATTTCTGAGGATATACAAACCCATCTTTTGGTATAATTGTGAATTGTGATTGTGCAGGCTAAAATATCTCCTCATGCAACTGTCAGTAAGCTCTGCTCTATCGTACTCAAGAGATTTGTCTCTTTGAGCTTAAGGGAAAACATAGGTTTACGGTTCCAGTAGTGGCAGTAAGCTGTACTCTGACGTATTTAAGAGGTTGCTTTCTTTGTATCTAAAAGAAAAACATAAGCTTATGGTTCCAGTAGTACCAGTAAGCTCTGCTCTATCGTACTTAAGAGGTTGGTCTCTTTGCAGCTTAAAGGAAAACATAGGTTTATGGTTCCAGTAGTGTCATGATACTAAAGCATATCATATGTATAATAGACCCATTCCACTACAGAAACATAGCAAACTCAAATTAAAGATTAAGCCAATATAGGTCTTGTACGAGCGCTAATAATTCCATAAAGTTATTGTGGTATATGTTTAAATAAAATTAAATTTAATTTTAATTTGAAATTGTCCGTAATAATTTTATATGTATATGTTATGTGAAATAGTTTTTTAATTTTCAAAGTATTTGCGTGCAAACTTCAATAAAAGTAGGAATTTATTTAAAATGAAAAGAATGTAGTTAAAACGCCTTATGTGTATGTATAACATTATGTAGCCTTTATGGCTGCGTAAACGCCCTTTTATATTTAGTTAATTATGATTATAAGTTAAAAAATATTTACAAATAACCTTCGCAAATATATGTGTCCAAATTTTACTCAACTTCCTGAGATAAAAAGAATGAATCACTGAATTATGGCGATTCTAAGTAGAGTATCATTAAAAATTATTTATGAATACATAAAAAATTAAAGCAACTGTTGGTATTAAATAGAATTAGTAGATAAATGTAAGGCACTTCGTATTTATTTGTCTATAAATGAGTCATTTTATTGTATGTAAAATAGTGTAGATAATTTGTAGACAAGTTTTTCTGTAAAAAATACTTTCATATCGTCTTATCAATGTAGTAACAGAAAGCGCCATGTGAGAGAAAAATAAAAAAAGCTGAGACCAGATTACGCTAAGCCTGTGACATAAAAATAGGAAAATTTGTTAAAGTATATAGTCGTAATATTACTATGGCATATTTTTATTGTTTGAAAATGGTATATATATTTATACAATATTTATATTTATACAATATATATATGTGGGTATATAACACATTTAACAATACTTCATATCATAAAGTCAAACAATTTTCAACTTGGCGCCTATAGGACGATTTTTGTCTAATGAGATATGTACATTAGATACGATAGGCATCTAAAAGGATAGGTACAGAAATATTATTAAAGTGTCCTTGCGCACACCCATTATGGTTCGCATTTTTGTGAACTATGTCATCATTGTTAGTTTGTCAATGTTAAAGCATTAACAAATATTATTTTTGTTGGCCAAGGCAGGAATATAATTACGACAAAAACCATTGTATGAAATGGGGTACTTAGCCCAATTATGAAATGGTACTAATGACGATCAAAGTTGTCAAATGAAATGGATGGATTCAATTAAAATAGGAAATAGAAAATAGTAGACGTTACACCTCATTTTCTATCCAATAATATCGGTCATAATTATTACTTTGTTGACAACGACTTTCGTTAATTAGTTGTTGCGACTATTAAATAATACTCAAATATAAATTTATATCTGTTAATTCGGATTGCCTTTACAGCTGCACTTAAAAATTATTTATTTTTTTTTTTAAAGAAACTTTGGATCTTAATAAACGTAAAATGTAACTTATTTATAAAAGAATTAGTTTTCATAATTATTCATTAAAGTAAGCTTATGCTGGCTTTGTTTGGTTTAATTAATGTGAATTTCGAGTTGGTAACCGAAAACTCAATTGTGCATGTGAAGTTATATCTGAGTCCACAGGCCAGATAATGATAAGTTTATACTTTCTTATATTGCTCATGTCCGCATATTTTCCAGTAGTGCTTAGGGTTGTCTCCAGCAAAGGGTGAAGGGTAGTGCTCGGTTGTTAAAAAGTCAATTATGTTAAATAATTTCACTCCCATGTACATAGCTAAGTTCACAAAATGTTGATCTATATATATGTCTATATCTGATATATATCAATATCTAATATATCGGTATGTCACGACTGTCTTATGATCATTTTGAACACAGGAAATTGACATGGCAGGACACGTTTGAGAGTATTTTTGGGATCCTTGTCATAAGCAGCGCAATCGTAAAACAAAACTAATCTCAATATTTCTTTTTAAAAAGATCATTTATTTTTTTTTTAAGTTAAGTGTGGAACTAGGTAAATTCGGGTGAAGGTGCTGAAGTGTTTTCATACTTCGTCGGAAGTAACGCTTAAGCATTTCATTATATTCTCTATTATATGTGAGCGTTCTTGGCATATAATTATAGTTGGTGTTGATTTTGTTTCCTAGTAATGACGACCGTTTTAATTTTCTTTAGCTTAATGTATGTTTTCCAAAAAAAAATGCATTATGCTCGCTTTAAGATTTCGCTTATGTAATTTGATATCAACGAAACTGAATAAACCTTTAAAATATTATGGAATATTAAAATTCAGAATACTGTGTAAATTGGTTTATTTATAATTTTGGCTCTACTCTTGCACTGATTTTTTCTGAGTCAATATTGAAAACAACTGGCCTTATGACAATACAAATATAATAAAATATAGAGTTTTTAGAATTTTTTAAAAAAATTTACCTAAGCATAAATCGATAAAAGAGTTTTTTTATATATATTTATCACCTAACAAAATTAAATCATTTTTAAAATTGTTATGCTAAACTAAAATTATTATTTTATATAAAAGATAATTTTATAAGCGTTTGTTTCATATTATTGTGTATATTTTTAATTTTTGTTTACTTTATTTTTAAATTATTTAAATTCCTCATATTTTTCTTTTTCTAAATGTATTACTATTTTTTGTTTTGAATTTATCAAAAAAAAAAACAAATGATATATCTTAAATAGTAATTATACCTATACGCAACGAAGAGATCACTTGGGCACAGACGTGAAGACTAACATCGAAAACTTTAGTGCCGTGTGAAATGGCGCAGTGGAATTAATATAAATATATAAATATATATATATATATATAGATATATATTGCGTTTATGTATATATATATATACTGTTAATATATAAATATTTATGTTTAAATTTATGGTGGGTATTAGCATAAACAAAACATCTGGTCATTCGAATTCACAGTTTTGGGTAAATATGGCAACTACGTCACAATTTATTTTAAAGAGGGTGTGTCTTTGTAATTTTGATAGTTTACTGAACTATAATCTTTTTATGTATATAAATATTTTTTTATATATAGATTTTTAGGCTGTCTACGTTAATTTTAATAGTTGATTGAACTATTATGTTTTATTTACATTTTTTTTATATGACATATATAAACATATAAACATATGTTTTTTACCTACAACGGATGACAGAACAGAATTTTGACAACAAGTATTATATTTATACTAATTTATTAGTTGAATTTTTAATAAAAATTTTTATTAAAAATTATAATAGTCGTGTGAAAATCCTTTGATGTGTGAATAAGTTTTAAATATATTAAAAAGTTTATAATTTTAGTTTTTAACTTGATTTTAAGCAAAAAAAAAAAAAACTGGAGTACTATATAACGATCTTAACTTTTAAATTACATTGTCTTAAAAATTCAAAATTTTCTTATAGTCTCGTTGTATTATATGTAAAATTAATATTAATATAATAAAATAATATTGGATTAAAATATCTGTTAAGTACTCACATTAGATACTGTAGAATTGTTTTTTAAAACTATATACATTATCATTATGACTGTGTTTTTTAAATTGATCATTTACGGTAGGTTTTCTTGTTCGATTATTAAAAATTTAAGAACTCCAAATAAAAAAGGAGATTCATATGAACGATAACGTTCATAGTAAACGTTAAGAGTTCAGTAAACTTTTATATCTAACAAAAATGCTTATATATAATAAGAATAGATGATATATTTGAAAGCGCATTAATTTAAAAACAGTAATGTTGAAACTAGAATTTTATTAGAACTGCAACTTGACTGGTAGACAAGAGAAGCATTTTTGCATCTATTAGATATTGGTCATTTAAAATAGTTCTGTTAGAACAACCCAAAGCAAAAATTAGAGTATTTAGGACATGGTAATAATAATGTAATGTCCTTATACACCAAGACAGAAATTTATGTCATCATGGTGATATTTTCCATTGAGATCAGAAAGATATTGCCGACCATGGATCATATTAATTTAATTATATTATATTAATTACTAGTGATCACTACAGAGCACAACGTATGTATTTAAAGTGATAATATGTCATTATATATAGCTTCAATTATTAAAATTATTTAGATTAAGGTAGTTGTTTCAGTCAATACGAGACCGCTACATATACAGCTGTTAAGCAATTAAGAAAAAGACTAGGAATTTGTACAAGTCTAGATCACTCCTAAAGTTAAGGCTTTTTTTTAAAGAGATATAATTGGAGATCAAAAAATATGATTAACACACAAAACTGACGTCAACTCACATCTAATAATTAAAATTGAAGTGAAGTTTTGAATAAATAATTAAAAAACTAAACACACATTTTTGATTAAATGAATTTTGTTGAATTTTGTTAATTAATTGCATTTTTCATCTGATATTTTTAATAATAACTTCAAATCAATGGTTATTTTTAAATGGGTAGGGTAAAATTTGGTTTAGTCTTTTGTCTGATTACGAGTTAAAAATTTGTCCTGGACACTTAATAAAAAAACATACAAATATCCACTTTGCACAAATCGAATAAATTTGAATCAAATTTATTTAAATCGATTATGACTAATGTTTTTATAAACTTCTAAATTTATTTAATAAATTAATATTATTCATTATATCCACCGATTTAGTATAGCTGTTATCCACCGTTAACTAATTTATAACAGAGGTGTTGAAGAAGTCATTTTTAAAACTACCTCCCAGCCTGTGTATTGAGGTTCTAATATCTCTACAAATATTTTATAATAGCCAGCAGCGAAGTAAGGCCAATTATCTACATTTACACGACATTTATGAAATATCATACGACGTTTTGTTACAGGTGGGACGAAATTTCCTTCAAACTCTATCCCATTTTTTGTACAATTTCTTAATGTGCTCATGGCAAAACGTTTATAAGGTCCAGCAATAAAACTGTGAAATTTCATCTTTGGAGTTTGGTATGGAGTTGGAATAAATTTATTGGTCCCGTAAATACTACGCGTAAAATTTGATCTTATAGTCCATTTATCACTCGTATCCTGTTTAAAATCCACAAAACCACTAAAACCATATTTTCCTCGCGAGATCCGTTCAGTTTTTATATCTGTATCTAAGTATTCGGTGCTGGATTTATATATAGAAACAGAGTGAATTTCACAACTCCATGTATCCTGCATTAATAAAATTATTCGTACATTTTATAATTTTAGAAATTATTCAATACCTTTCCACTGGATTCCTGTAGTAATATTGTAAAAATAAATATTGCAAAAATCTGATATAGAACCATTGTAGTTAATGCAATTCAACTGGAAGACTAATGTAAATCTGTCGTGCTTAAGTACTTAGTCGACATCAACTAATTAAAGTTGCTTTTATGTGTTCATGTTATGTAATATAATGGATGTTAGATAAAATTATGATCACTTGTTACATGAATTGATAGTAATTAATTAATAAAATTAAATCAAAAACAAGTTTATTATGAAAATGAGTACGTCGTTAATTTTGAGCAGAGGTTGGAAACGAAATTAGCCATGTAAAAACTTTCCATCCAAAACAAAATCGGTTGGTATTGTATCTACATCCATTTAATAACACTTCTAAAATACATACTTGATTTGAAAACTAGAATACTTTGTTATCTCTCAATTGCAACACACATTGATCTGATCGAGGTACTTATAGTGTCATGGTATGATCTAAATATATGTATTTCCCCTAAAGAGAAAAAATAGATTCTGACGCCAGAGTAATCGTCATAATTTTTTTTCTACTTGAACTTGTCTACAACAAAATATATGATTAAAATTAAAACTTATTTGTTTAATGGAGTAATGTTATATGATTTACAACCCAAAAATTATTCACCTTTTAATTTCATGTATTATTTTAATATGTATAATTTATAATGTTATGTAAGATAAATGTATCTTAATGTATCAGTTTTGAGTAAATATGGCTACGTCACAATTTATTTTAAAGAGGGTGTGTCTTTGTAATTTTGATAGTTTACTGAACTATAATCTTTTTATGTATATAAATATTTTTTTATATATAGATTTTTAGGCTGTCTACGTTAATTTTAATAGTTGATTGAACTATTATGTTTTATTTACATTTTTTTTTATATGACATATATAAACATATATATGTTTTTCACCTACAACGGATGACAGGACAGAATTTTGACAACATGTTTTATATTATACTAATTTATTAGTTGAATTTTCAATAAAAATTTTTATTAAAAATTATAATAGTCGTGTGAAAATCCTTTGATGTGTGAATAAGTTTTAAATATATTAAAAAGTTTATAATTTTTGTTTTTAACTTGATTTTCAGCAAAAAAAAAAAACTGGAGTACTATATAACGATCTTAACTTTTAAATTACATTGTCTTAAATTTATGTCAAACTGCTCAAAATTTTCTTATAGTCTCGTTGTATTATATGTAAAATTAATATTAATATAATAAAATAATATTGGATTAAAATAGCTGTTAAGTACTCACATTAGATACTGTAGAATTGTTTTTTAAAACTATATACATTATCATTATGACTGTGTTTAAATTGATCGTTTACGGTAGGTTTTCTTGCTCGATTATTAAAAATTTAAGACTAATGTTTTTTTAAACTTCTAAATTTATTTAATAAATTAATATTATTCATTATATCCACCGACTTAGTATAGCTGTTATCCACCGTTAACTAATTTATAACAGAGGTGTAGAAGAAGTCATTTTTAAAACTACCTCCCAGCCAGTGTATTGAGGTTCTAATATCTCTACAAATATTTTATAATAGCCAGCAACGAAGTAAGGCCAATTATCTACATTTACACGACATTTATGAAATATCATACGACGTTTTGTTACAGGTGGGACGAAATTTCCTTCAAACTCTATCCCATTTTTTGTACAATTTCTTAATGTGCTCATGGCAAAACGTTTATAAGGTCCAGCAATAAAACTGTGAAATTTCATCTTTGGAGTTTGGTATGGAGTTGGAATAAATTTATTGGTCCCGTAAATACTACGCGTAAAATTTGATCTTATAGTCCATTTATCACTCGTATCCTGTTTAAAATCCACAAAACCACTAAAGCCATATTTTCCTCGCGAGAGCCGTTCACTTTTTATATCTGTATCTAAGTATTCGGTGCTGGATTTATATATAGAAACAGAGTGAATTTCACAACTCCATGTATCCTGCATCAATAAAATTAATCGTACATTTTATATTTTTCGAAATTATTCAATACCTTTTCGCTAGATTCCTGTAGTAATATTGTAAAAATAAATATTGTAAAAATCTGATATAGAACCATTGTAGTTAATGCAATTCAACTAGAAGACTAATGTAAATCTGTCGTGCTTAAGTACTTAGTCGACATCAACTAATTAAAGTTGCTTTTATGTGTTCATGTTATGTTATATAATGGATGTTAGATAAAATTATGATCATAGTAATTAATTAATAAAATTAAATCAAAAACAAGTTTATTATGAAAATGAGTACGTCGTTAATTTTGAGCAGAGGTTGAAAACGAAATTAGCCATGTAAAAACTTTCCATCCAAAACAAAATCGGTTGGTATTGTATCTACATCCATTCAATAACACTTCTAAAATATATACTAGATTTGAAAATTAGAATACTTTGTTATCTCTCAATTGCAATACACATTGATCTGATCGAGGTACTTATAGTGTCATGGTATGATCTAAATATATGTATTTCCCCTAAAGAGAAAAAATAGATTCTGACGCCAGAGTAATCGTCATAATTTTTTTTCTACATGTACTTGTCTACAACAAAATATATGATTAAAATTAAAACTTATTTGTTTAATGGAGTAATGTTATATGATTTATGTACAACCCAAAAATTATTCACCTTTTAATTTCATGTGTTATTTTAATTTGTATTATAACATAACATTATAAATGTATCCTAATGTATCTATACTAACTTGTTTTGCACTTTTTGGATAAATTAAGATCTCTAGGCAGCATTCATATGGCTGCGCGTTTCATTCCCCATATATAAATTTCAATGCAATGAATAAATTTAAATAATATTCTTATTTCTTGAGCCATTCCTCCAAGAATTTTTGGGCATAACCTTTCAGATTCTATTTATATTATTATTCTCTGCTTTTGCAGACTGGTCAAAGCTCATCTTTAATATTTTCTGGCATTCATAGTGCCATCAATTTGCAGGAAAAAAAATTGTCATGGTTGCTTTAACCATCGTTTCACACATTATATATTTCGAATGTTTCTTATATAGAATTTGTAGATCTTTAGAGGGTTTTCCTTACAAAACTAGTGAAAATTGCTTAACATATTTTTTTTATATTTTTTGTTATATTAATTGATGACTATTCAAAAAATTGAAAAAAATAATTAAGGAAATTGTTTTCAATAACATGAGTAACAAGTTTTTTATTTTTAAAAATTCTTTTAAATCATAATATAATATTTAATTTAACTTTTATCACAAATCTTGATGTTTTGGTAGATATTTATGAAGCATTTGTGAAGCTTGTGTCTTTGTAATATTTAATTATATAAATAACGAAATATCTTTTTTACAAAAGTTTCGTTATCTTTTTCATAAAAATTAAAGCTTTTTAAAAAATTTGAAAATTTGATTACTTTTAAAAATCAGATATTTTTTAACTTTCCGTCTACATTTCTTACCAATGCCAGCATTAACATTTGTATACCAAATATGAAGTCAATTCTAATTAGCGTTTCAATTCTATTAAAGGTTGATGTTACTTATTCCTTGTTTTAATATAAATAGTATTAAATGAATAAAAATAATTAAAAAAAATAAAAATAATATTTTTAATAATTTATTCATATATATTACTAGCTGACCCGGCGAACGTTGTTTCCCCTTGCAATTAATTTTCCTGGCGTTCGTTGCGTTGCTCTTGACTTTCATTAGCACGTGTAATTGTATCCTGGTTTCTTATATCTTCATTGTTTTCTGCCGATCTATTTAACCGACGGTTCTGGAGTAATTGTGAATTCCAAATCCGTCGACCAATATTTTCTCCTCGTCCACCAAGACGTGGCATTGTTTTTTGTACGATATATATATCTTTATATATATAATTATTCTTTTTTGTGTGTTGAATTTTTGAATTCGCTGGATTTACCAGGAATACCACCACATAACTTAAGAGTAAAAATTGGCTCACCTATAATTATGCTGCAGAATTTAAATGCACTTAAGCTATGTAACGGCAGTTTTACGATTCATTTTAGAGATTTTAAGCTTTTTAAAGAAATCAAAGTAGGCATGAATAAATTTTAAATTTTTAATATAAATGTATATGGATACCAAAAAATAAAAAATTGATTAAAAAGACATTATCCAGTGGGCCACATTGTGAATCTAAACCTTCCTTGAATACACAAAAAATTTCATCAAAATCGGTTCAGCCGTTTAGGAGGAGTTCACTGTCAACACACGTACAGAAGAATTATATATATAAGATTATATACTAAGAAATAAATAATCACTAAAACTGATATCACTAAACATAATTTCATCTTATTTTTTCTTTAAATGTTTTCTTTCGGTATTGGTACTGTTGACATAATTTAATTAATTATTTTAATTATTGAATTGTTTATTGAATTTGTTTCTGAATTCATTAAAAGAAACCTAGTTATTGATGTAAACTTTAAAATTACGTGTATAGCTAAAAATAATTTCAACTTAAAAATATTTCTGATTAGGAACTGAGTTTAGATTACAAAAACCTCCAAAATTCATTAAATTAATGATTAACTTGGATGCCAAAAATTTAATGAAAGAGGAATAACTAATTGAAATAAAAGGTATATTCAAACATAATTTGATTATATGACAATTTAATGAAATCGTCGCATTGTATCGCATTGTAAATGTACTGCAATACACATAACTTATATTAAATTAAATTTTTACCATTATTATTCTTTAAATATGTAAGCATTCAGTTATTATAACTTATAATGTATACTTTAAATAATAAATTTCATTTTAGTGCTGGTATAGAAATCATAAAGAAAGATTAGGAAATTGTTTTGCAAAGGGAATTTGTTCGAGAGATCTAAAATTTTATAACATATACAGTGTTATACCGTATGTCTAAAATGCCCTTACAGTACGAATCACTTTTAACGATACCCGATACAACGATTAATCAGATATCACAACTAACTGGACAATTAACTGGATATAACGACCGTTTCTTAAAGTTAAGTTTAGTTTGCGATAACAATTTGCACAAGTAATTTGTAACCTTTTAGAACGACATTGATATTGATGGTTATTAAGATCCACTTTGGTTATTAAGACCCAGTTTTGATAAATTTTTTATTGATTATAACAATAAACAGAAAAAAAAAATTTTTTTGTCACTTTTCTGTTTGGAGTATTTGAAGAAAAATTATTAACTATAGCAAATCCCTGTCGGCTGCGAATACTCACAGTATATGTACTCTGTATATATACATTCAAAAGGTATCCACAAAAAAAGAAAAAATTTTTAATTTTTTTGTTTCTCCAGAATTTATGGATTATTTCTCCTAGTGGAGAAATGATAAGTATATAAAAATATACAAAATATATACACATATATATTTTTTAAACAATTAAATAAAATATAATTTCATCATTTGTGAATATAATTAATTTATAAATTATACACTCTTCTATCAACGTGACTATAATTTTTGATCATTTAATTTCTATTATTGCTCATAATGGCTATTGATTATAAATTACGGATTGACTCGGTCCTTTCAATGTCGTTATAACCGGTTTCGACTGTATATATGTTTCGACAGGAGTACTACTACTTATATCAAAAAATTGTGAAGAATTGCATAAAACAGTGAATATTTAAGTCTATAATTAAATAATTAAGTGTATAATTGTATTCGTGTCTATTGTAAATGTTTATCTTGCCTACTAATATAGTTAATAAATTCAAATATTCTAATTTAATAAAAAACAAAATTGCAACAGGTTGTTGTATTCAAACAAGATATATTAAAAGATATTTCAAAAAAAAAATTTGGTCATCACCTTATATGGTAATTACAAATTAAAACGGTTAAAATAATCAAAAAAATTTATGTACGCTTTAAAAATTGAAATAATTATTGAGATCTTAATTGACTATAAACTAATTATGGGGTCAAATTGGCCATGCGCTCCATTTTAAAAATAGATCCAGAAAGATTACGTCATTATTGAAAGCATTTAATTTATTTACACATCATATATAACAAATAAATAGATATTCTTTATATCCAATGAAACTGAAAGTAATTACATGTATGTATGAGTTGTGCACATAAACAACTTCTAAAAATTTTGGAAAAGAATATAAAGCCCATAAAGAACACACCCAAAGAGAAAGTTGACGTCATAGTGTCATCTTCAGCCTTGAAATACCAAATTTTTAGCTTTCGGCACAAGAGTAACTGAACCGCTTAGAATATTAAAATATACGCAGTGAGTTTATTTGAAATACTTTTATAGTGTGTTTGGAAGTCAAGTGTAGAGTATGTAAATTCCGGCTTTAAAGCAAAACAAAAGACAGCAGACTGACGCCTCTGCTAACTTGTTTGCTTAATTTTGTTTACACACTTGTTTTTTATCTGCTGCATATACATAAGCGGAGCGGTGCATACATGCTTATATAGGTACGAATTTTAAGCAATTACTTGAAGACAGTCAGAGTTTCTTATCATTTGCCGAGAAACTCTTAATGCCAGTAGTTTTTATATAATTCAAAAATGTAAGATAATTTTAAATTATTTGTTCTGAAAATTAATAAGATTAGATACACTAAAAACACAGATATTTGACATGTATTTTTTTAAAAATACAAAAGATATTAACATATCTATTATGATATATATACGTAATAATGTAATAGTATAATATAATACTTTTTTGTAGATATAAGTTCATATATATAGGTATAAATAATTCCTATTTACATCACTATAGTTTGTTTTTATTTTCTGTGTTGTTTTTAAACTTCATTTATTTTTAATACTAATTATAAGCACTAAATTCAGTTTTAATACTTCAATATCCACTTTTAGATAAATATATTTTTTAATTTTTCATATATAATTTTTTTATAAAAACACTTACCTTATTTGATAGAAATCAACAAGTAATGTAAAGTAAACACTTTAACGTAGCACTGTTTTTAAATGTTTAAAAATATAATTTATGTTTATTTCGGTATCACACAAATTGGTTGTGCCGCGTATTACAATCGAAACGCTTTTGATTGAATTGTGGAAAAGTATTTAATCTAAAGGTGGTGGCGCTTACCCAAAAAGTTCTTGCAAGCACATCTTAGCAACATATCTCTAGCAACATTTTCTACATAAAGCTTTTCACTAAAAGCTCAACAAATGCTTAACAACAATGTTTAGCAACAAGAAAAAGTATTCGAAAAAGAAACAAATTTATATGAAAGGGGATTATTGATACACATAAAAATTATAAATATTTATATTTATTTAATATATATATTTATAAATATTTATAATTTTTGATACATATCAAAAATAGTAAATTATTTTGTTGCAAGTTGCTTTCAATTCTCTGCTTTTATGCTTGTTGAAGAGGTTCGCAACAACAATTTCCTATTCCAAATCAACCATAATCCAGATTTTTTGAGACAATGCAATTTGTGTAAAGCATTTTGAGACTGCGTAATTTCATTATTTAATTTAGGGCTTAGTCATACATAATTCTTATCATTTATACTAAAAAATCCGGATGATATTTGATTTCTGTCTAATATATCCTGATAACTGATATCTAAAAATCTTAATTTATTGAAATTAATATTAAATACAAGGTGTACAATGTAACACATATTATATTGATATGAATAAAACATATATTTTAGTATAAAATTTACTATATAATATAATTGCGTTTTGTCACGAAAACTACTTTTATAGTACTTATGCACTATATAAGTACTGTATCGGTGGTACATATAAAGCTATTGAGTAGCTTTTAGTAGTTTTCAGATTCTCGTTAACTGCGAAGATGTAAATGAACTTTACCGCTTTTTCCACGAATGGGCATTTATTAAACACCTTTCTAGCCGCAGCATTTTCATCTGGCTCCCATTATATTCGATCAGTATCAGTATTTTAAAATAGTCTATAGACTAAATATACATTATGTATATCAAAGAACTGTTGAGAACTATTTTACATTTACTGTTCTGAATCAAAGCAAAACAATATTTTTCAAGGAATGGAATACCAATGTGTTGCCATCATACTAAACTGACTATTTTCTAACTGCATATAGTATGTACAGAAAATACACACCAAATATCAGCCGGTGCATTAACTTAAATACTTGAACGTTACTATTAAATCAATTTACTTTCAAGACTAGTGTAACCAATAGCAATAGACTGTGATGTTAGGGACGCAGTGAAATTTGCTTAAAAGTTTTCAATGGGGTATGTAAATATATCTATTGTATACTATATTTAATCCATATTTATACCTCTTAATGATAGTTTATATAGCAAGTAGGTGGAACTATTAGAGATTATAACAAATGTATTCAATTATGTCATCATAAAATATGTACATTATGCTTTTCAACCCTTATCAGCGGCAACTTTTTCATAGGTAAATAATTGTGTAGGTGGATAGGTAATTAGTCTTCTTCTTCATTCCTAGGGGAACATTGAGCCATATAGGTAATTAGTAAGGTGTAGAAACTAACGCGATAAGAAAAAACTGATGAGTACAAGAAACAAATAACTGAATCTCTAGTTTGTTTATGAGTAACACATGGTAAGAAGCAAAAAGGCCGCATTAGGTTATTATTAGCTGCAAGGTATCTCATATTGTAGAGGTATGTCTTTTATAGCCTTCTTTATATATACCACCTTCTACTTACCTAATTATATAAATAATATTTTTATATTGAAACTGAAGCTAAGACAATAAAATTAGATAATTATCGCTAAGTTCTCAGTTTTATAGTTGGTTATATTTGTATATTTAAATTTATATTCAAATATTTGTGAAAGTACTGTGTTTGGTATAAAAAGTAATTTGGAATAACAAATCTTTAATGTGGTTAAACTCAAAGCATAGGTCTATTACTGGATCATATATAAAAGAATTAAAATTTCTAAAACATCGTTAATATACTGCCAAAAATTTATTTGATAAGTATTGAGATTTTGATTTAAAAATAAAAATCATTGATTAATTAATATTTCTGTTGTTCTTATGGTTATATTCCTCAGGGATTTGCTTATATAATTCCCTTATAGGAGTGTTAAACTGCTCTTTGTCGTCAAACTCGGTGAGTGGCTTCGGGACGTAGACCCGGCCGTTCTTAGAATTTCTGGGTACTGTTGGTTCATTGGTTCTTTGCGGTCGCTGATAAGGAGATACTCTTGCGACACTCTTTTGCTTATTTTAACCAAAATTTAATCGACATTTTATAAACATGTTTCTAGCAAAAAAGCTCTACAGATAAACCTAATCTGTCCTATTTAGTCGATGAGAGACTGAAGATTTAAGAGATCTTGTATCTTTACCTGTAATGTCTTTATTTTAAGTAAATAAATAAATTTCTTTTAAATAAAAAGTATTTCTTTTTGGTATGGTGCTACATATGACATCTAATGATCACATAGTACATTTATTTAAATAACGTTTGTTTACAAATATTTAGAAGTAATAAGTGTTTAAAATAAAAAAATATATATAAATATTTTAGTATTTTTGAACAAAATTCATTGAATCGTGGCTTTAATAATTTCGTTTGAATTTTAGTGCATTTCGTTCAGGAGTGTTCGTTTCACAATTAGCTTTGGTAGGTTCCAATGTAGGCATTGCAATTGGGACAGTAATGATTAGAATTCTGGCAAGAATCCATGCAGTACGGTAGGCAAACACATGGCCATAAACTGAAAAGAAAGAGGAGGAAATTGTATTTATTGTAATTATATATATATAAAGTTTTATGAAAATTACTAAATAGCTTAATATCATAAGTAAAGAAATTTAATTAAATAACTTAAGACATTTCCACTTTAAAATCAAGGTAGAGATTACATTATATTATATTATTAATATTATAATTGGCTTTAATGTGCGTCATGCTTTTCTGTACTTATTGATAACGTTATCATATGCTCAGAGATTAATTTATTTTTGTTTCAATTGTAAATTTAATCAAAAATAGAAATATTACTCATGCAATTAGAGGACTGATCTGTTCTACAATGTATTGACTTTAAGTCGAATAAATAGACTTAGTTTATTTTTTATGAATCATTGTTTACAGTTTTTTGTTATTATGAAATTTTTATAAAGCACATCAAATGTGTGACGTAAATTTATTTGTGATGAAATTGCCTTTCAGCAATTAAGTAAATGTTACTAAATTTAGTATAACATAAAATGCATAAAATAATAATTATTTGTAAAGTACAGCAGCAATACGTATGAGTAATATGTACACGTAAATAAAACCTAAAGGTTAATTTGTTACACATTGTTTATTATTTTTATATATAAATTTGGTTTTTCTATTAATGATTATTTTCTAAAATAATAGTAATTAACTGTAATTGTATAATATTTCACTAAATACACGAATATTAACAATTAATTTACTTATGTATATATGCATTTTTAGCTTAAAATATATTTTTCTGAGAATAATTTTTATAAATTTAAATTTTTTTATATTTTGTTTATAATTTGCATATTTTTATATAATATTTACATAGCATTTTACCTGTTGTTAACAAAAAATATATGTAAAAACCCAATGTAAAAATTTATTTAATAAAAGCGTGAACAAAAATTTTGCAAAGACAACTCACCACACCAAATTTATTGCTCATATTTTTTTGTACATTGCAATGTGTTAATTGCTTTAATAACGGTTCAAATATTCTTTGTATTATAAAATATAATTATTTAGCTAAAGTTAGGAGTGTGTTAAAATTTTAAAATTGTTATTTTTCAGTGCAGCAAGTAGTTTTAATTAGATAGTATATATTATGATTTTCATCTCCGTTATCAATTTTAACCAACTTGTTTGATAAGATAGGGAATTGATAAAAAAAACTGTTATATTAGTAGTGGTGAGTTATTAGGAGAGTTATTTGTTGAGTTTAATGCTCAAAAGCATTCAATTATTTAATTGTTTACGCCTTTCTCAAACATTTACTTAGTCAAAAAAGAAAATAGTATTTCAATTTAATTAATTATTAAATTAAAATGAATATAACTAACACAATACTATGCAATTTTATTTATTTCATAAAAATTTATCAAATAAAACTAATGAGTATTTTTTTCTGTTTACTTTATCATAATTTCGTATCTCTTCTTGAGATCAGTTGATAAGACTTCTCATTTGTAAACAATTTCTGAGTACAAATAATAAAAACTCACCACATTTTTAGCAAGTATTTTGTTTGAAATGCTACATTAGCAATAAAAAGTACAAATAGATTTTTACAAAAAATAATAATTGAATAATATGTGTACATAATGTTGTAAACGTTATTCTGCGCAACAGATACACATACATACATATATTAACAAGTCTGTTGTATAAAAAAAAATGCTGAAGAAAAGTTAAATAATTTTACACTAATCGTTGTTCTGATATCAATAGAATATATTTGGTTACTTATAGCAAAATTTTAATGCTTTTTAAATAGGAATAGTTTTTTTTTTATATAAAAAAAACCTAAAACCTAAAAACTTTTTATGTAAATAAAGTTATATAGTTAATTACTTTAAAGTTTTTTTTCGGATAACCACTTTTAGCTCTTGTAAATATAAGAGTGGAAATGTCTTCAGAAGGGCATAGAAACGCACTGCGTATCGAATTGTTCCCAAATATTAGAATCGTAACTTTTTTTATAAAAATTATTTGTATTGATAAACATTTAAATAGAATATTATTAATATTACTTTATCTTTCGTACATAGTATAATTTATTTGCAGACTAAGAGGGGATCACCAAAAAATATGTTCAGCCTTGATCTCCCTACATTCTTAGTCTGTACCGATTAAAAACAGATTTGCACATACATACATATATGTAAATGGGAGCACAATGTATTTTTATTTGTTATTATTATATTATTATTATACACATATGTAGTGTATAATAATAAATATAACATTTTAATAAAAAAAACAACATGTATTTTAGCACTAAATGGATATTAACACTAAAATTCAGAACTATTGTTTTAATTTATTTTATATTATTTCAAAACATAATACCATATTTTACAACATTTGCATAAAGTTGTTCTTTTTAAGCGTAAGTTTGATATGAAAATCAGTAAAATATTTTATAAACTATTTCAGTGTAATTCAGTCTGGAAATCCCAAGCTAATCTACATTTGCAATTACGGTTCTAAGAAAATTCGATGTTAATCACTTTAAATTTCAGTTGAAAAATCTGATATATGATTTTATATCTCAAGTATTTTTCTAACACACCACAAAGTTTTTCATTGTAGATATACATATATATTGTGTCTTACACTATGCAACTTAAAGTTATTAAATACTTTTCTAACACATACCCTATTAGACAAAGTAACAACGCCCAACAATGCGTGCGTGTATTAGCTTCAGACTTGACGGTTGTTAACACCTGAGCATGACATGAAGGACAAGTAATATGACTTGGTCCACTTCCAATTGGCACAAAAGCCGGTGTTGTGGTTTGAATAATCACCGTTGATTGCTGTGGCGGTGGCTGTGGCATTGGTGGATACAACGGTTGTTGCGGTGGTGGTTGATAATATGAAGCCGGTGTAAAACCAGGCTGTTGTTGTGTTGCCGAATATGGTGGTGGATTTTGATATGACATCTCGGAAGTTTAAATGCAAAAAGCGAACGTACACAAATTTATGCAAATTATAAAACACAAAATATCACTGCCCGCAACTAACGAACTGCTCTGATCAACTCAATAAATGGTACTAAACTCAACACATTGAGTTCCCATGCACAACGAATAAAAATTTTTTTTTGCTATTATTTTCTTATTTTACAAACTTAATTGTAAACAAGTGGATGCGGTTTTATCGGGGAGTATAAGATGGTACTATTTCTGTGGTGAGTTTTGTATATTTAATTGTAGTCAATGTTAATAATATTATATCTTATCAGTTTCCTGATTTATAGATTTAAATTTACTCGATGGATTTACTGTTGCTGTTTGTTTTATACACAAGCTTCAAGTATAATTAAAGTTGGGATATATATATATATACTGTATACTGTGTTTTAATACATAAGTAACATTAATAACAAAAAAGTGCCTAATATATATAAATTTGAAATATTAGTGATTTTGATACTGAAATTTGACGCGTAACGATTTATTGATTGTAGAAAATACTGAAGTCAATAAGCCTTTATACATATTAAGACAGTTGTGAAATTTAATAATTAATTATAAATTTTCTTATCAAACTGTGTACAATTGTTTATAAGAAACTTTCGGAAAAGTTAAAAGGCATAAAACTTGTTTAGAGTTTATATCCAACTATAAATAAAACTTAACCGATGGCTTCTGCTATAAAATTATATAAATAATGTGGTTAAAATGCATCATTTTATGTTATGATTCATTTTTTTTAGTCATTTATAATAAAGTTAGCAAACAGAAGAGTTATAAATGAACCACATAATTGAAGCAATGTGTAATAAAACGTGGACAAAGGTAATTACTAATAAGAAATGTGCAAAGATCTTCAATATCGAACAAATTGTATTGGAATTACACATCACGCAATACATTCGTAAAGTGACTTATACTACAATAACTTCTGATCAAAATAATAATACTTTCCAATGCTGCTCTAATATTTAAGATCTTGATTGTAGAACGATTTATCACTTTTAGTGGAAAAAAATCAGTTCCTCATTGGAGGCAAGTATTTTTTTTTTTTAAACACAATTTTTAAGTCAGCAAACAGTCCTAACAAGTATATTAATAACGCTACATTGTTGTTTTTAATTCAATGTAAGCACGGGATGTACTCATTAGGATGATATCCTTCTCACAAACTGTACACTGACGTCTTTCAGTTCATATATTCTCTTTAATTTTACTTTATGACCATTTAAAGTAATGTCTTGAACTTTTTTGATATTTACTGAAGAAATCGAATTCAGACGTGCAGGGTGTTTAGCATTATTGATGACTGTAAGACTGTATCTAAAGAGAACAAATCCCCGAAAAATATCTGAATTTAAGAGAGTAGGATTTTATAACACTTGTAAAATTTCTGTTGGATTTGCACGATATTTTTTTCATTTAAAAAAAGTGTTTTAATAATACACGAATTTCAGTTATTTTCAATGTACTTTGTACAATGGAATTTGTCACAAAATGTGACATTATTATGACAAAAAGTTGTTGAAGAGTTCGATTTTTTAAAAATCTATTGATCTGTTTAATCAAGTCCACAAGCAGAAGTTGTGGAAACCCGCAGGAGAAAGAAACAATAATACATTTTATCTGCGAATGCCCGGCTTTAGCTATCAGACTGCTCAGCGGTGAAGATGAAAGACCTATTGAATTACCTGAATTCGGCGGGATGGATTTAGTCTCTACTCTTATACACTAGGGTTCTTGCGAGGAATATGGTAGAAAAACGGCAAAAAATCGCTAATTGAGGTACATGGAAGTTAACTAATGGCCTGCCACTGCAACCAACCAACATTATTAATATTTGTTGTTTCTATTTGTTTTCAAAAGAGTGTTAATATATAATAATATAATATATTCTACGTTACAATATAAAACAAGTAAAATTTCGACATTTCGTTAGTCACTATTTGTTTAGAAATGAAGCCAGACTAATTGTTGTAATTGTTAACATTATCTTTTTCTGTGAACGTCATTTTAAACTAATTTTTTCTGAAAAAGGAGCTGAGAGTTTTTCATAATAATTTATTTTTATATTTAATTTATTTTTAAATAACTATGGAATTTATTTGGAATGTTCACAAATGTTCACTTTATTCTTTCTAATGCTTCTAAATTTCTATCTTTTTCCTACCACAACTTCTTACTCTCACGTAATCTTATTTTTACTCTTTGTATATATTATTATACATTCGTTTTCTTCTCGCTTTGCTACTAATTTTCATATTGTTTTAGTTGGTAAGTTATATATTCTCTCTATTAATATCATGTACATCATAGACTACTTTACATAACTAATATTTACCATATTAAAAAATCCTTTATGTTTCTATACAGTATAATAAGTATAACAATTCTAAATTTAGTTTATACAAAAGTACTATGTTAAGTAAATATATCAATATCGTAAAAACAATATCTTTTTAGAAATATGACTAACTATATGAAATATGACTAAATCCTCAACTCTTTAATTTCTTTAAAAATCACTTAAGATCACAAAAAAAAAAATATGGAAATCCAAGTTTTGAACATACCCAACAAGACAGAGCAGCAACGCCCAACAATGTGTTCGTGATGTTGCTTCGGTTTTCACTGTGGTTAATACTTGTGCATGACACGATGGACACGTAATATGAGTTGGCCCGCTCCCAATAGGTACCAAAGATGGTGTGGTAGTTGTTATAATAACTGTGGATTGTTGTGGTGGCGGCTGTGGATGCGGTGGCTGATAATATGAAGCTGGAGTGTAACCAGGTTGCTGTTCTTCTGAGTATGGTGGAGGTTGTTTAGACATGTTTTATAAATATTTATTTTTTATTTAAATTAATGTTAAAAAATAATATAATTTATTTTTAAAATTTTGTTTTTCAAACTACAACGATCCGTCGTTTACAATATATTTAACGTGACTGAAATTAATTGCTGATTGGTATTTCTATTATAGGTATTAAAATTTTCGTATTTCACTTTATCAGTTTAAACAGTTGTTGAACTGACAGGTTACTAAAGGGGGTGACGTATAGAGAAATAATATATCTCTATATAAATAAAGGTGTATCAGTATTATTTTCAGTGGAAAGGCATTGCGGTTATGAGTAGTTATCTTATCAATCTCTACTTTTTAATATGAAAAAAAAACCAAAAATAATGATTTCATGTATATTGAACAGCAACAAATCGGGGATTAACAGGTTCAAAATGATGTTATTATAATGATAAAGTTTTTGAAAAAAAAATAGTTTTATTCAGTTTTTATAAATGCATATTTTTTATATCTATAAACCTTAGCTGAGAAAATATAGCATTTAAATAATTTCTTAATATACATATCTACAATGTTTGTTATCAAAAAGATAATATAAATTAACAGCTGTCAGGCGGAAAAGCAGTAGCAATATCGTAAACTCTGATTACTGAAATAAGATATAATATTCTACTTATACGATTTTCAAACTTTTAGAAAATAAACATAATTAGACCATAAGTTTTTTGAAAAATAATATACGCTGTTATTAAATTATTCTATTAAAAAAATGCGATGCACTTTTCGAATAAGATCTCCTGAAATGTGCTTAGTAAGATTATTTATCTCATTTAAATAGTTATTTATCATTTGATACTATGAGAGTCATTTTAAAAAATGATTTATTCAATTAAGCAAGTATGTCTACATATTTAAGATTGACAGAGAAAATTATATGTAAAATTGTATATTTTAATTTCAGTATATGTAGTTAATCTGTAAGCGCAAAGTGGGGATATTTTTTTTGTTTGAAATTTTTTTAAGCTAGTCTAAGCTATTTATTTAAGCTATAGGCCAACCATTTACATTTTATAAATTGTTATTACCATTGGCACAATTCCGGTTTCACGAACAGATTCTATTAAAGATAGCTATTTTAAACAAGTTTTATTATGATACTCTGATATATATTCTAATAGCGCTTAATTTTCAGAATATTGGAAATTAAAATTAGACATTTCTATATGAAAACCACTGACAACAGATAGATAACCATCTGGTATGTTTATTTATTGTTACTCATCATAAGTGTAAACAAGGAAAACAATCTATATACTGTGTTGTACAATATATAATGGGTAGTTTCTGTTAGTGTAATAAACAATAATAACAGCTTTTAACCACAATATCTCGAAAACTTAGCTATATCATATTTACCCTAGTGGAAACATGCTTAAAATAACCAAAATTTATTAGTAAATTGGTGGAATGCTGGTTTATCACATGTACTGACATCACAATAATCAACAACATGCCCAAATGGTCTGAAAACTTGAACCTGCGTTAAACTAAAGTATTCAGGTAAGAATGTCCCCTCTTATAAAAACAAAAAACAACGACTTTGTAGAGTGTTACAAAACGATCTTGACCGTAAGTTAGAAATTCTAATATATATAAGAGATACTTAGAAATTCTATATATATAAAATATTTATAAAAATATCGAAAATGCCTAATGTGAGTCATTTCGGTGTTGTTTAGTTATTATCAGTAAAAATTGTATATATTGTTGCTTAACTCTGATAATAAAAATATTGTAAGATAAGAGAAACCATTACAATTTATTGCTCTAATTAGGTATGTGTGTTGTTAATAATGCAATATTTTATACGACTATTTAGCAAGCAATAAGTTTATATTTACTTACCAGCAGTAGAACAGACCCATTATATATAACATAGCTTGCAAATTGGCTTTGTGTCTTATAACTGTAGTGATAACTTTAGAACAAGCTGGACATCTCATAGTCACAGGTCGCGATCCTAGTGTTGGTATCTGGCTTGAATTTGCATATGAAATATTATGTGAATAATATTGCGAACATGTTGGGAAATCTTCTAATAATTGATCATTTAAGGAAAATGTAGATAACTCTGTACCAAGCACTTCCTGTTCATGTTTCTTCTGTGAAAAGTAAGGCATTTTGAACTTTTATTAGATCAGAAACAGTACGAATGCAACACAAAATAAAAATAAAAGATATTATATTAATCAATTACTTTTTATGCATATACGTCGATATCAAAATCGTTTTAAACAATTTTTAATTTTTTTATTAAAATGCTTGAAGTCGATCTCATTGATAACTATGCTTATATTATCTATAAAATAAACTTATTAAACTTTTTCAAAAAATAGCAATTAAGATTGAGAAAAATTTCAAAATTAAATAAAATGTATTGGATTCTACAATTATCAATATGAGTAGTAGTAGTAGTAATTCTTTCATTAAAACTAAAAATTATATTCAATTAAAATTATAAATAATAATTACTCTAACTAAGTATCTTATAAAGATCAATTTAAATTTTTATCATTTGCTCAAAGAATCAAATTTAAAAAAAAAAGAAAGTTAATATTTTGTAAATAATTTATAAATGTTTAACAAAATTATTTGTAAGAAATGATATTACAAGGTCGAATATAATTTTCTACTTTGGTTTTATTACAAAATTTCTTATTAAATAATTTTAAAATCCCTCGAATAATTTAATCTTAACTTACTACCAACGACAATAAAATATTATCAAATATAAATACTTAAGCGACTCCATTACTTTATCTACTGGTACAATATATTAAAGTACTCTCCGCAATTTTCTTATCAATTTAACATTCAATTGCAAATCAAATGATTCATTCCTTTCACATATCAAATTCAATTTAGTCATATTTATCTACTCGATTAATATAAAAACGGATTGATAATAATATATTATTAATATAAATACACAATAGAAATCAAATTTGTAGAGTTCTAACCTTTTAACTCTTCTGATAGTAAAATTATTGTTAGTATTATCAAAAAATATTTAAGTAATACTACTAAACCATGAAAAAAACATTAATGGAATAATATACTACTTAGGAGATGAATAATTAAACATATACTTATTCTACCATTATCTGCATTTTCAATTATTTGTAAATACACCTATATATAGTGCACTTCTTACAGAGGAGATAACTTAACTTATGGTAGGACGTTGGGACAGCGTACCGTCCAAGTGGCCCCACTGAAGTGAAGGATTAGCCGAAGTAGACCATGAAACTACTTGCGTCCTTTTTCGTCCTTCTATTCTCGGATGTCGTTATTGAGTTAAAGTTGGAGTGGCTTCCGTTAGCATAACTACATCTCTTGTTAATGCAAGCAGCTCATTTAGCTTGAGGTTGTCTGTCAAGTCAGCACCAACCCAATGGTGTCCTAAGATAGTCTTTCTCCTACTTACCAGTGCTGGACATTAGCACAATATATGCACGGCTGTCTCCTTTTCTTCTAGACATAGTCTGCAAGTGTCTTCCTCAGCAAGAGTTATCTTTTTGAGGTTATACTTAAAGTTGCTATGTCCAGTAATTAGTGAGGTCAGTAAGCTTAGAGTACTCCGCGAATAGCTAAGCAATCTTATCGCTTTCCTGACCCACGGTTTTGGCAGCATGAGTTTGGTCTGTCTACAAGTACTCAACTCTCTCCATCTATTAAGATGAAGTGAGGTTATTCATTTATAGACATAGACTGTCATCATGTTGTAATCCAAAGGTATTCTGGGTACTGGGCCGCAGAAGTTATGGCTTGATCCTTGCTTTGCAAATTCATCTGCCTTCTCGTTTTGCTCAATACCGATGTGTCCCTTAATCAATGACCGTTACTTCATTTCCATGAGCACATTCTTGAACTAAGCTGTTAGCTATGTATGTCTTTTGCATGCTTTTTACAGAAGAGATAGTAATTTACCCCCAAGAAATAAAAAAGATCATTTAAAGTCAAAGTAAATTGTACATGAAGAGAACCTCTCTGTCATCATACAATAAATTTTTCAAACATGCTATTATATTATATTTACATTATATTATATTTACATTTTCTTAATAATATATCTAGGAAAATAAAAGTTGGTAACGGCAATTGCTTTAACTCTCATATTGAATGTTATTTCTAATAATGAAAACGAAATAGTATTATGGTACTATTATAATAAAAATGGTCAAAAAATGAGTACCTAACACCCTGCACATCCTGTATCTCGAATTATGAATAAAGTGAATCAGCAACTCTGCATGCTCACAATTATTTTAAATCTAAACACTTTACTAAGAAATCAGTTTTCTATAAATACTGAAAATAATCTGAATAATGAACTGATTCATTCTCTGTATTAAGTCGTCGCTTTATTATTATCATTAGCAATGATTTTACAACATGAACAAGATTTGCGATCTTTGAACAGAATCTAGAAGGAAAAATATCATTTATATCGTTTTCCGAATGAAGACGAATTCCGTAAAAGATTTTTATAATTGTTAACATAATTGTTTTATACAATTATTCTTATTAGCAACTTTAATAGAGACAACTTCTTTATAATTCAGCTTTGCGAGTTTAGTTATTTTATGATCTGTCCATTATTGCACTAAATATGTTTATGCTAACTAACCAGAAATGACTAACCAGAAACTAGAATAATAAATAGTGCAAACACTAAGAGAATGCGGTAGAAAAGTGGTGGTCTGGGCACAGATCGAAAATCGTGGCTTGAAATGGACACACAAAAGAGACCCTTTTTGAAGTAATGCGAAAACGGTTCTGAGGGAAATAAGTCTCGCCGAAGAGGGGTGGTTTAGTCCGTATACTACATATTAATGTTAGGAAGTCGTTTTGATGGTTTGATGGTGCATAAAACCGTCAACAGAAGTATAATGAGAACGAATAAATTTTTCGCCTTTTTAACGTTGTAAAAAGCTTAAAATGTTGGTAATTAAAAACAAAACTGCATATACAACTAGTATAATTATAATATAATTTAATCAATTAACAACTTAACGAATATTTTTGAACTAATAAATAATAACAGTAATCAAAATATTTTAATATTTAATAAATTAAAAATTTAAAAAATGTTTTTTAAACAACTTTAATAATAAAGTTATAAACAACTAATAAATTATAAACGGTTTTAAAAAAAAATCTATATATTCAATGGAAAATTTAAAAATTAGTATTTTTGTTTAAAATCATTACATATTTTTATTTACATATAATTATTATATTATTTAAAGTATATAGTAAATATTATAAAGTTATAAGTATCGCAATTTTTCATTATACTACATATAATCAAAATGAAAAATTCAAACATATTGTCTAAAATAGTCTGGCATCACGGTTCAAAAAATTGTAAAGCTTTACGAAAGAGCGTCTTGAGCTTTTAGCTAATTTATCTGTAAAGCTTTAATTAAAACTTTTAAATGTGTTAAATTATATTTGAAAATACACAATTTAAATTGTTTAATCGTTTTTTTTTGGTAGTTTAAACATTTTTATGAAATAATAAATCTTTTTCATCCAGTTGCTTTGGTAACTGCTTAACGAAAGTTGCAAACGGACTGTGTTCATAGATTTGAAAACATTTAAAAAGTTATATTATTTTATTAGCAGTATTTAAATAAAATAATTTATAAAATATGCAAAATGAAAAAGATATGATTGAGATAAATTTAAACACACCAACTGCACCAGACGGTAAAGAAACAAATTATTTTAGTAATATTAAATTTACAAAATCCGAGGATTCTGGCTTCCCTTACGGTTATTATGAGAAGAATAATGACATTACATCAAAGCAACAAAATGCCATGAAGTACACAGCTTTTCACAGTGGAGCGGCTAACTTTTTCAGCAACAATGAAATGCTTAAAACGTCCAAAATAAGTTGCCTTCGCCAAATGTATTGTCCAGATTGCCAGGAGCGTTTGGATGCAGAAAGTGTACATTTCGAAAAACTATTGACTTGGTAAAATATACACTTTTTATATAAAATTAGAATTAAATATGAATATAAAACAAATTCTTTTTTAGTTGCTTACCCATTTTTCCGATTTATTATTGTTGCGTTAATAGGCATATCAACCGAAAAGTGATCTGTAATAAATGCGGTTGTAACTTGGGTTACTGGAAGCGTTCCTGATATTTTATGGTTACATTTGAGTTTTTCCTCCATTTGGGTTTATTTCACTTTAAACAAATTTTCTTTATGTTTAAAATTAGTTTCATAATTAACGTACAACATAATTAACGCATAATATGAATTTGCTTTTAACATCGAATATTTTTCACATATCATTTATCATTTCATCTTAAAATTTGATTTCAGTAATTTTTTATATATATTGTAATAATGTACTTAGTTATACTTTGTATTGTTTTTTTCTTTTATTAAATATTTGTTTGACCCATTTTTAAAAGTAAATAATTTGAAAGTGAAAGCAAATAAAAAAACATATCTCAGCATTGTTATTAAAAAGAGGTTCATAACTTTTTTATAAAAATATATCAAGTTGTTTCAGATACTCAATTATCTATTTTTTATTTTATAAATTTAAAATATTTTACACATTATTTTAGCTATTTTTTATGATATTTGCCGGTATATGTAGTATTTTGAACTGTTTATTGTATTGATTTGAATGTGGGTGAAGTAGCGAAGTACTCATTACTTTTCTCGTTTTTTGCATGAAATCGTTTTATTATAATTGAGCACATTGATTTTATTGTATAGTTTTTTAAAATCATTAAAAATTTCATAATAAATGAATACAAGGTGCTTTGATGGTTTGAAAAGGTAGACTCTTGAAAAATGTTTGAATTGATTATCAATGAGAAAAAATTATGCAACAATTATAGATATGTCAATGAAACCAAACTTTTGCTACTGGAAATGAAGATTTTGCATTTAATTTATTTATTTATTTTATTTTATATATCAAAAGATAATAATATTTAATATGAGGTGCTTCACTGTTTAAAAAAATAATATTCTCAGATGGTCACTGATGATTAGTACTTGGCAATACTGGAAAGAGCGTTGTGTGGTCAGTCAAATTTTAAGACATTAACAACAATTGTTGTCTTTTCATTTCTATTCGAACCCTTCTAACTTTTAAAAAATTTCTTTTTTTTAACTTTCTTCTGTAATTATGTATTATATGATTTATTAGAATAATAAAAAAAGATTAATCACTTCTGTTTTTATTAGCAAATCTTGTCTAATAGCTGATATAGTCCATTTAATTAAGTCTGATTAAATCAGTCCGCTAAATTACGTTTATACAACAACCATTTACCCACAGACTGCAATCAACTTGAATAAACATAGTAAATGAAAATATATTATTTTCGAAAGTTCCAAAACCTACAAAACCTAAAGCTACAGAGCTCTGACAGAGCCCGATTTTTGATATATTCATTATTTTTTGTCATTATCCCTCTTTACTGGAACTCATTATACATAGTATTATACATAGTTATACATGTATCAGCTCTAACTCTAAATTATTAACCGTTCAGAGTTCAATAATATCCATTAAAATATTTTAAAATTTGTAGGTTTTGGAACTTTCGAAAATAATATATTTTCATCTACTATGTTTATTCAAGTTGATTGCAGTCTGTGGGTAAATGGTTGTTGTATATGGTTTCGACTTTCGATATTCAGAAAGCTATTCAAAGTAGCAGAGACTCCAACGTATTTAGATTCGAAAAACATTTTTTACCGCAGGAAATTTACAAAAACAAATCCATGTATTCATACCGATTTATCATGATTGAGCATTTAGCATGATAATTTGCGTATTGAAGACTTTATGAGAAACATTCTTTACTAGGTGAATAGTTGGTTTATTGATAATAATTGCAATAATTTATATTTTTTTTTCTTGTTATTAAAGTACAATTTTATATTTCACATATGTTCTAGTTATTTGCATTAGTACCAAATAAAATTACATTACCAAATTGTTGCCTACTATTAAAATGGAAAATATATTTCCATACTAACTCCAAGCATCTGATGTAATCAGTATCAATAAAGAAATTATGTAATGTAGAAACTTCTCGTAAACTTAACAAATACTGTATATCATGTATGAAATGCCTTTATTATACCTTAAAAATAATATGATTCTCAAAAGTGGATCATGCTTATAAAAGAGGGGACTTTAAGCATGAAGTCTATACAGAAGTTATATTTTAAATGAATTGCTTACTCACAAAGTTTAAATTTTCACTTAAAATTTAATTTCATTAAAAATTTAAATAAATATTATGCAGACAGACCATTATTTAGTACTCAAAACAACATCGTTGTTGCTGCACTTTTGTTATTTTTTTTTTGTACATAGTTTTTTCTATTTATTATATCATATTACCTATATCAAATACAAAGTCAGAGAAAAAAAAATTACTATAAGTTACACATTATTATTAATTTTGTGATTCCGAAAACAGAATAGTCTTGCGATTTAAATTTCGATCAAATTTTTGTACCAATATAATATGTAAATCTTTCAATTAAGTTAGGTATACATCAATCAAATATGTTTCACTGGAGTAGAGGATCTTAGAGTATTTGATCCTTTTGAGTTAATTTTTAATGAATTGTCCATACTAGTAGGCACTAGCACGACAGTAACTTGACGGATGTCCATTTATAAAGCGTCAAGAGTTTGAAGGTTGTCCGCTTAAATATAATCCTTCGCGCAACCTCCCAAAAAAATTTGATTGGGGTTAAATTGTATATTCTTAGTAGTCAATTTATATTATCTAGCTCAAATGCTACTCTATATAGTGTAGCAATGGTCCTCAAACATTTTGTAAATAAATGGTCTTTCTACAGTAAATGAGACAGTTTGTGTTTGTAGATATATCCAATAGATAAGAAATGATTCTCATCACTGAAGAAAATTTTATAAGTTAAATGATTCATATGTTAAGATGACAAACTTTTAACTAAAGCTATAATGTCATTAAATGAATGTTCTGTTTAAAATATGTCACCGAAACAGTGCTGTAAAATCAGGATGAATAGCCTTATTTTAAATAATAAATTATTTATGTATCTATTAAAATATTTGCTATGTTTAATAATCATTTAATATTTCTGTGTGAAGGGTATTTGATTTTCTGCTTAGTCTAATTTAATTTCTGTTTTGGTTTTGTTAAACAATTTTAAAACTGACAAATTGAATGAAAAATTTGAAACCTCTTATTACTCTTAATGATTGACTCTTAACTTTAGGAACCTCTCCGAAGACACCGGTATAAAATTTATATTTTTCTCTTTCTCGCACAAAATATTCTACAGGAAAATAAACAATTTCAGTCTTTAAAATCGTTGAGAATAGTAGGACGTATATTTTAAAAAATATAATATGAAAATTTCATAATATTTTTATACACATTTTGGACAATATTTTATTTATTTATATATATATACATATATTTTGTTGACTGAATCTCTTGAAACGCTTACCATGACACAAGAACATCAAATGATTGAAATTAATTTAAATGCACCCAATACGCCAGAGGACAAGCAAATGAATATTGTTGGCAACGTAGAGTTAGGTAAAGGATCGAAGTTGGTACCTTTTATGGATGGTGAGGAGGCAGTAGCTATTCCACGTCAGCAAAAGCTAACATCATGGGCACCAAAAATCGTGGATGACGGTAAGCCGCATATACGTTTCTTTGCAGTTGGACCCAGTAGTTATCAAATACGCTGTCCTTTGTGTAAACAACGTGCGGATACCGAAACTGTACAAATGGCCGGCGCTTTGGGTCAACTCAGTTGTCTATTATCTACGCTTTCATGGTAAGTTAGTTTTGGAGTAGAAAATATCAAAACCTCTATTTTATATGTGCTCATTTACAGCTGTTTTCCAATTTTTTCCTTATCCTTCGTGTACTTTTGTCTCCAGAGTCGTCTTAAAAGTAAGCGTATGTTTTGCAATACCTGCGGTGGTTATTTGGGGTATTATTGGCGGCCATCGTAAAATAATGTAAAATTATATTGTATCTCAAAATTTCAATTCTTTAATTTAAAGCAAAATGTAAACTATTTTATTAAAAATACTTTTATATACACAAAAACTGTTTTTTTGTTCATTTGGCGTTTTTGATTTGTTTTTTTTTATATGAAAGTGGTAAGAATCAATATGTGCCAAAAAATTTAAAATTGGAAGTGTAGGAACGCGAAATTTCGTTTCAATATATCGTTTCAAGTTCATTAAATACTAACAAGTGTGTGAGATACTTTGCTATTTTTATACGTTGAACAAATTATAAGTCTCATCTGCAATAAATGAAAAAAGTTTATAAAAAGTTTAACTTAATCAAAAATCAGCGAATTTCTATCTAAAAGTAAATTTGTCATTTTACGAAAACATTTTCTTTAGATACATTTTTTGTGTTCATTTCTCTATTTCTAGTTTCTTAAACATTCACAAACATTTCTCCACGAGATCTCTTTTGATCGTCGTGATTCATCACAATAATCCAAAAGCTGAGCAGTTGCTCATTTTTCGTCGCTCTTGACGTCGCTAAT